ACTCCTGGGCTCAAGAGATCATCCTGCCTCGGCATCTAGAGTAGCTGGGACTAAAGGCGCATGACACCACACCTGGCTGCTACTGACTTTTAAGGGCAGTTCTGATAGAGTGCTAGGTTTGGAAACCACACTATTAGCAAAAGCTTCCTCATTGTGCTTCTTTGGGTTTTAAATTCTACATCAGTGAGGATTAGACTATGAAATGGTTTGGATCTGTGTCCCACCCAAATCTCAGGTTCAATTGTAATCCCCAATATAGGAGGTGGGGCCTGGTGGGAGCAGATCACAGATGTGGGCTTCTCATGAATTGTTTAGCACCACCACCCTTAGTACTGTCCTCACAATAGTGAGTTCTCATGAGATTTGGTCATTTAAAAGTATGTGGCACCTCCCCGCTTACTGTCTCTTGCTCCTGCTCCTGCCATGTAAGGAGCTGGCTCCTCCTTTGCCTTCTACCTTGACTGGAAGCTTCCTGAGGCCTTCCCAGAAGCAGAAGCCACTGTGCTTCCTGTATAGCCTGCAGAACCATGAGCTAATTAAACATCTTTTCATTTATTTATATTTATTTTTTATTTTTTAAGTTCTGGGATACGTGTGCAGAATGTGCAGGTTTGTTACATAGGTATACATGTGCCATGGTGGTTGGCTGCACCATCAACCCGTCAACCCGTCATCTAGGTTTTAAGCACCGCATGCATTAGATATTTGTCCCAATGCTCTCCCTCCCCTTCCACCCTTCCACAGCCCCTAGCGTGTGATGTTCCCCTCCCTGTGTCCATGTGTTCTCATTGTTCAACTCCCACTTATGAGTGAGAACATGCAGTGTTTGGTTTTCTGTTCCTATGTTAGTTTGCTGAGAATGATGGTTTCCAGCTTCATCATGTCCCTGCAAAGGACATGAACTCATTCTTTTATTATGGCTACATAGTATTCCATGGTGTATATGTGCCACATTTTCTTTATCCAGTCTAACATTGATGGGTATTTGGGTTGGTTCCAAGTTAACATCTTTTCTTTATAAATTACCTGCTCTCAGGTATTTCTTTATAGCAATGTGAGCATGAACTAATACAGAATGTTTGCCATATGCACTGTAGATGTGGGAAGGAAGGCACACAGCCAACAAGGACTAGCAGGATGCACAGCCAACAAGGACTAGCAGGATGCTACTACCCTTATAGAGTTTAACTTAATAAATTTATCCTGTTCTAAGTCTGGCTCTCAGTTGCCAAAATCTATGAGCTTTATTTCAGAGAGCCTGATTCACACTAACTCACAAGGGACTAAAACACACCAATATGCTTCATGATTAATTTTTTATTGCAAAATATAACTATCATGCAGACATTTTATGCTTACCTGTTTAACCAGTACATTTTTTTTCCTTTAGACATGCTATAGGGGATGCCAATCTGAAGACAGTTTGAGGTTTATGGGCTTAGAGCAAAGAAAGAGGACTTGAATGTTAAAATGGAGTCAGGTTTATTATCCTGACATAATTGCAGGGCTTGAAGTGTCAGATATTTTGGATATTTATCAAGATTCAAGGGGACCACCTCCGCAGCACAGTGTGTAGAAAGGCACTACCCATGTTTACTTGGCTCACTCTACTTTTTTCTAGGGCTTTGCTGCTGGCCAATACTTGTTTCTGACTGACACTAGGGTTTCCAAGAAGCCTCTGTAGGTAATTGCCTGCATCGAGGCCATGGTAACTTTGCATGTGGAATGTTTCAATACAGAAGGGCTGGTTAGGCAATGCAATTTGTAAAAATATCAGCAAGTAAAGTAGTGCTAAATTAAAATTTGGCTGGCTCTTTTTACAAAGTTGATTGTATCACTACACTGCTGGCACACCAATTTTATTTTGGAGTTATACCTCTAAGAAAAGGGATTAAGGAAAATTTCACAACTATTTGAACATCCATGGTCTTCCATTGAACCACAAGGCAATAAATCCTTCTGTCAGTGTTGTATTTACCTTTATATCTCCCCCAACTAATCCTTAATTGTCTAAGCAGTTTCAAGATAAAATTATACACACTAAATAAAATGTAAGCACAAGCATATAGATAATATCACCATAGGCCGGGCACAGTGGCTCAAGCCTGTAATCCCAGCACTTTGGGACGCTGAGGCGGGTGGATCACAAGGTCAAGAGATCGAGACCATCCTGGCCAACATGGTGAAACCCCGTCTCTATTAAAAATACAAAAATTAGCTGGGCATGGTGGCGTGTGCCTGTAGTCCCAGCTATTTGGGAGGCTAAGGCAGGAGAATTGCTTGAACCCGGGAGGCGGAGGTTGCAGCGAGCCGAGATTGTGCCACTGCACTGCAGCCTGGTATCTGGTGACAAAGTGAGACTCTGTCTCAAAAAAATAATAAATAATAAAAAAATAATATTACCATGGACCACCATTCTTCTCAAATTCAGCCTGTGTACATTTATCCATATGCATTTATTGCTGTCCAGGTTACTGGAACAAAGTAGCAGTTTTCAATGGGGTGTTGCTTCAGAATCACCTGCTAGGGTGAGAATAGCAGCCTCTTGCAATTTTTTACATCCTAACCAGAAGAGGAAGTTCTCTCATATTTATTTAAAATTCCTAGTTTGTTTGTTAGTATTTCTACATGGTTTCTACCAGTTAGTAAACTGGTACATGGTTTCCAGTTTCTTCTTTTTCTTTTGACGTATCTGTCCTCTTTAGATGCCTGGTTATTGGGGCCTATGAACTCACATCCCCATGGAGGTACTGGCTCCTCTGCCTCATAACATCTACAGATAGTGGCTGAAGGCCAGGCCAGACCCTAATCTGGGTCAACTCCAAAGTTCAAGGAGAGCAAAAAGGAGTCTAGGTCTGAGTACCACAGAAACCAGAGTTAATCACTCCTGTTTGTTCTCATCCCATCAAACAAATTCCCAAGTCAGGAACATACCTTTGAAGCCTCAGAGAGAGTAGCACTTGAAGAAGGAGGTCCTCATAGGTGGCATTCCATCAGCTTGGTGGGTTTGCAAGGGCAGGAATGATTGCCTGAGGCCAGGCAGTCTACCCTGTTTTCAGTCACTTCTCACCCCAAGAGACCCTGTGCTCTGCTTAACATCACTCCCATGTCTCCATACAACCTCAGTTGCATCTGGCTTGATTGTGTCCCTCAAGAGAAGTCATGTATTTGGTTTTGCCAGGAGCCCTAAAAATGTCCCAGCCTGGGACCATTTTTTATACTAATATCTCATCCAGGAGTATCTCAACCAATTTTTTATACTAATATCTCAGGACTGCCAGACCACATAGGTAATATAAATTCAGACTGCAACCCACCTGAGAAAAGGCAGTGATTATTAATTCTCACAGAGACATGGTTTTTTCACTCAAAGCTCAGGCAAAGGCAAACAAATTTCTCTGTTTTCTATCAAAAGTCAGCTGATGGATGACTTTTCTTTCTACCCAGCTGTAGCCCTTCCAGGATCCCAAGTCTAAACAAGATTCTTAGTTGCATTCCCCAACTTGTCTTTCCACAACCTTGTCTCCTGACCCCCAAAGCTATTAAAACCCAAGCTCCTTTATTACAAAACTCAGGATACAATAAGTCCTCACTTAACATCATCCGTAGATTCCAGGTCTCTGTAGAAAACCAGGTCTCTAAGCAAAAACAATGTAATATATTGAAATCAGTTTTACCATAGGCTAACTGAAAAACAGTTAAGTTCCTACAGCATATTTCTGGTCACAAAAACATCATCAAACTTCTAAATAAGGATCAAAGCACTTCTAATACGAAACACTGAAATATGTGTGAGCTATACATACATTTAAGAAAGATGAATAGAAATAAATAAGATAATCACTTACCCAGTGATTCCAATTCAAGGTCGTAAGTGGCTGGAGGATGTCCCAGCAGCTTAGCACACCAAGTGGGAGCCAGTCCTGACCAGGACGCCATTCCATCACAGAACCACTCACACACATCACACTCACTCAGATTGGTACCTTTTAAACACACCAGTAAACTTCAGGTGCACAGCTTTGGGATGTGGGAAGTACCCAGAGAAAACCCATATAGACGTGGGGAAGACATGTAGACTCCACATAGACGATGACCCAGCCTAGAATCCATTTTTTTCCTCTCATCAAGGTTATTATAGTAAAAGGATGTTGGATGAAACAATGATATTCAAGGACCTGCTGCACTCTCTTCTACTGCCAGGGAAAGCAAACTATCAGCACCTGCTTATTAATGTGGAATTGTAACTCCAGCTCTCATTTTGGCCCTAAACTATTTCCCTTACAATTTTAACTATGCATTTAAAAAGATATTTCCCTTATTTTTTCCAATACTTCTAGGTGTTCTGTAGCAGAAGGGTTTTCAGATTATTCAGTTTGCCATGTGGCCCAAAATAGAAGACCTATTGAAGTCTAGGAAGTATGTAAATGTAAACATAAACATGTCCATGCTCCGGCCTTAGAATTCCAGCCTTGCATCTAGTGATTTTAATGTGCATCTGTGCTTAAGACTCACTGTAAGAGAAAATAATAAGCTTGGATCATTATATCATTTAAGGAGACTGTTTATATTTTGCTGGAAAATAATCTTAGCTATTTTTCAAAAGAAATGAAACCTTTCTTGGCATCTACAAAGATAAAATGCTTTTGCTACAAGTGATTGCCTTTTGGTGGTTAGTTCTTTTTATAGCTAATTGTATGCAGAAGATTTTGTTGAAATTATGTATTATTATATAGTGGACAATTAAATTTTCTGAAAGGGTAAGAAAAAAATAGATGTTTACATCATGTTTCCTGCATGAAAAATTTCTTTGGCCAAAATTTTGCTGAGCTCTGAAAACATTAAAAAATATTTTTTTATCATTTGCTTTGGCCTGTCAGTATGCTATGAGCCAGTATCACAACATTTGAACTTCGGCAGTTTTTTAGCTGAGTGAATAATAATTCAGCAATTTTTAATTATGTCACTGATAACTAAACAAGTAGATGAAAAATTTCTTAATTTACATCCAGTGCTTTATTAAATATAAACAGCCTCATAAGAGGAGAAGTAAATGTGTTCACAGGCCAACAGAGAGTGCATGTGTATGAGAAAGAGTTGAGTGAGGTCCTTGATCTATACTCTGAGGGGGTGGTCAGTCAGGCAGGGCCTGGGCCAATCACCAAGGCAGATGAGGGTCCTTGTCCTGGGGGACTCACTGCTCCTGGGCACCCCAGCAGATGTAGTCTGGTCGTGTGGCCACATGGCACTCATCAATGAACTGCTGCACAATCTCCCTGGACATGTCCATCTCATCAAAGTCCTGGAACATGTCCTCCTTGCGGAACTGCTCCAGGAAGGCCTCCTGCTTCCACAGCTTGTCATATTGGTGACATGTTCTCTTGAAGAGCAAGGAGATGCTGGTGTGGTTGGCCATCATGAGCTCGCTGACCCGGTGGCTGAAGGCAGGTAGGGAGACTTCCTCAACAGGGCCAGCTGGATGCTGGCAGGGCCCCATGAGATGAAGTTGGCCAACTTCGGTTCCTGGATGCTCTGCAGGCTCTTGTGGACCTGCGTGGGGTCCACCTGTCCGTGGATGATGCTGAGGATGGTGATGGAGCAGTGGTTGGTCTGGTAGTCTTGGCCTGTGGATACCATCATGTTCTTGGGCTGCAGTAGCCATCTCATGACATCCAGGACTGTGGTCTTCCTCATGCTGGCCATTGACTGGTCCTTGGTGAGTGGGGTGTAGCTGGTCATGAGGAATTGGAGCCATGGAGTGGGAATGAGCAAGAAGATGAGGCCGATGAGGTCACTGTTCATGTGGTCGGGGTAGTGTAGGGTGGTGCTGCTGGTTGACATGATGGTGGACACCAGTTGGTTGATCTGGTAGAAGGATGGATTCTGGATGTGCAGGTGGTCTGTGGCAATCCAGTTCAGGGCTGTGTCATCCAGCACCACAACACAGTCTGTGTTCTGCATCAGCCTCTTGAGTGTGAAGAGTGAAATGTAAGGCTGGACCACCACATCGCTCATCTCATCCTGGTTGGGAAACATTGACTATGTCTGCACCAGCTTCTTAGGATAACTGCCATTCAGTCATTCTAAGAGGTAGGCACCCAGGCCAGAGCCTGCTCCCCAGCAATGGAGTGACACAGCACAAAGCCTTCTAGACTGTAACTACCATCTGCCTCCTAGTCAATGATGTCAAAAATGTCCTCATGGATCTTCTCTCCCTGGGAAAATCTGCTGGCCTAGTTATTGCCAGCTCCTCCTCCCTGCTTCGACAGGTAGATGTTCTCTGGGTTACAGAACTTGGCATAGGGGGGAGTTGAGGATGGAGTGGATCACCCAGGGCTCCAGGTCCAGCAGTATGGCCCAGGTGATGTAGTGCTCATTGTCTGCCTGGTAGACAAAGACATCCTTGTGGTCAGTGCCCTCAGTGGTGAACTCTCCCATGATGCCCTTGGAGCTGATACCATGCTCGGTGCACAGCTGTTTCCAGAACTCGAACCCAATCTGATTGCCACACTGGCCCAACTGTAGGGTGATGATTTCCCTGAGCATCGCTCCTCAGGCACCAATGTTGCAAAAAAAATTTTAAGTACCAAGTACAGCTACTATCTCATTTGCAATTTTTACTAAAACCCATTGTCTTAGTCCATTTTGTGTTGTTATAAAGGAATGCCTGAGGCTGAGTAATTTATAAAGAAAAGAGATTTATTTGGCTCACAATGCTGCACGCTATACAAGAAGCATGGCATTGACATCTGCTTCTAGTAAAAATCTTAGGAAGTTTCTACTCGTGGCGGAAGGTGAAGGGGGAGCAGATGTGTCACATGGCAAGAGAGGAAGCAACAGAGAGATAGGAGGGGTGCCCATACTCTTTTAAACAATCAGCTCTTACATGAACTAATAAAGTAAGAACTTACTCATTATTGATAAGACAACACCAAGCCATTCATGAGGGATCCACCCCTATGATCCAAACTCCTCCCACCAGGCCCCATTTCCAACATTGAAAATCAAATTTCAACATCAGATTTGGAGAGGACAAATGGCCAAACTGTATCACCCATTTAATCCAAATGAATAAAATGCCATTGTAAATATTGTACAGAATTTGCACAGAAGGTATGCTATGGTTTGAATGCTTTTTTCACCTCCAAAACTGATGTTGAAATTTGGTTGCCATCGTGGCAGTGTTGGGAGGTGGGATTTTGGGGAGATGATTAGGCCATAAGGGCTCCACCCTCATGAGTGGGATTAATGCTATTTTAAAAGGGTGAGTTTGGTCCCCTCTTGCTCTCTTGCCCTTCCACCTTTCATCATGTGAGGATATAACAAGAAGGTCCTCACAAGATGCTGGCATCTTGATCTTGATTTCCTAGCCTCTAGAAGTGTAAGAAAGTAAATTTCTGTTCTTTGTAAATTATCCAGTCTGTGATATTCTGTTATAGCATAACAAATAAGACTAAGACAGGCTGGGCGCAGTGGCTCATGCCTGTAATCCCAGCACTTTGAGAGGCCGAGGTGGGCAGATCATGAGGTCAAGAGATTGAAACCATCATGGCCAACATGGTGAAACCCCATCTCTACTAAAAAAAAATACAAAAATTAGCCAGGCATGGTGGCATGCACCTGTGGTCCCAGCTACTCGGGAGGCTGAGACAGAAGAATCGCTTGAACCCAGGAGACAGAGGTTGCAGTGAGCCAAGATCGTGCCACTGCACTCCAGCCTGGTGACAGAGCAAGACTCCGTCTCAAAAAAAAAAAAAAGACTAAGACAAAGTACAAGTTACATTTTTCAAGTGATCTATCAGAATAACTGTTGACACAATTTATGCTTTATATAAAAGTAATAAAAGTCAAATTTTTAAAATGAGCTTCAGCTGGACACATTGGCTCATGCCTGTAATCCCAGCACTTTGGGAGGCAGAGGCAGGTGGATCACCTGAGGTGAGGAGTTTGAGACCAGCCTAATAAACATGGCAAAACCCCGTCTCTACTAAAAAAAAAAAAAATTCAAAAATTAGCCAGGTGTGGTGGCACATGCTTGTAGTCCCAGCTACTCAGCAGGCTGAGACGAGAATCACTTGAACCTGGGAGGTAGAAGTTGCAGTGAGCTGAGATTGTACCACTACACTCCAGCCTGGACAACAGAGTGAGACTCTGTCTCAAAAATAAAAAGTAAACAATAAAATAAAATTAGCTTTCTGAAAATTCTTTTACTTACCAGATAATATTAGAAAATAAATGTAAAATTTTCTTTTCTGTTATTTTGTTTTGACAGTTCTTACTATCATATCAAAAGAATATGTTCTTGCTCCAAATTGAATCAATTAAAAATCCATATTCCATGCACCCTGAGAAGTGTTTTACAGTAGGTATCTCATTTATTCCTTACAAGAAATACCTGCTAATACTATCCACATTTTACAAGTGAGAGATGAAATAACCTGCAAGATCACACAACCAATATGTAGTAGAGTTGCAATTTGAACCCAGGCCATCCAACTCCAGAGCCCATATGTTTAACAACAAAGCTGTACTGCGAGTTACATTTTAAAAATTAAAAAACAAAAGCATGCAAATAAGAAATCTACCTCAGAGGCCAGGTGCAATAGCTCATGCTTACAATCCCAGCACTTTGAGAGGCTGAGGCGGATGAATTGCTTGAGCCCAAGAGTTAGCGACCAGCCTGGGCAACATGCAAAGCCCTGTCTCTACAAAAAAATTTAAAAATTAGCCAGGCATGGTGGCTCACTTCTGTAGTTCTAACTACTTGGAAGGCTGAGGTGGGAGGATCACTTGAGCCCAGGAGGCAGAGACTGCAGTGAGCTGAGGTCACACCACTGCACTTCAGCTTGGATGAGAGAGCAAGACCCTGTCTCAAAAAAAGGGGGAAAAAAAGAAAAGTAATCTACCTAGAGAACATTCTAGGATCACAATATTTCAAAACAAGTTTTATTGGCTGTATGTCTCCAAAGAGCTCCCAAATCCAACTACTTCTCACCTCCTTCAATACTGCCTCTCACTGAGACTATTGCAATAGGTGATCTCAGTGGCTCTCACAGTGTGGTCCTGGGACCAGCCGGAGTGGGATTACCTAGGAAGTTTTTAAAAATACAGATTATTTAGCTCCAGACCCACTGAATCAGAAATTCTGAGAGTGGGGCTGACAAGTCATGTCTTAACAAACCTTCCAAGTGATTTTGATGCACAATTATTTAACAACTAGCCAATAATAAGATGCATTCACTTAGTCTTCTGGTAGCTTTACCAACTTTATACAGTCTCTACAGAATCATCTTTCTTTTAGGAGCCACTCTTCTATCTTTACAGAATAAAGTCTCACCTTCAAAAACACAGAGAGAGCCAGGCATTGTGGCACACACTTGTAATTCCAACTACTCAGGAGGCTGAAGTGAAGGAGGATCACTTGAGGCCAGGAGTTCAAGACTAGCCTGGGCAGCATAGCAAGACCCCATGTCTATAAAAAAAAATTGAAAATTAGTTAGGCATGATGGTGGCATATGACTGTAGTCCTCGCTACTCAGGAGGCTGAAATGAGAGGATCCTTTGAGCCCAGGAGTTTGAGGCTGCAGTGAGCCATGATTGTGCCACTGCACTTCATCCTGGGTGACAGATGGGTGACAGAATGAGGCCCTGCCTCAAAAAAAAAGGAGGCGGGGAGCAAAAATATCCCAGCTCAGCTGAACTAGATGAGAACAATTCCAAATCCTTGGGATTTCCTAAGTAAGTTCCAAAGCTTCATGTACCCAGATTGTGTATAGAATCCTTTACACTAAAACAGAATTTAAGAACTAAAATAATTTAAAAGGATTTCTAATCCCTGCTTATGCCCCTGCAGAAAACATTAAAAGTGACTCAAATTAAGGGACTGAAAATGTCAAGTCCAGGTAAGGATAAGTGTAACTGGAACTGTCTCACATTGCTGGTGGGAGTGTACTCTGGTACATCCACTTTAGAAAACTGCCTGACAGAAAATACTAAAGCAACAGATATGTCCACTTTATGACCCAGCAATTCCACACCTGAACAGACACTCAACGTAAATGAGTGTTTTACATCCTCCAGCAAATACAGACAAGAATATTCATAGCACTGTTATTCATAATAACCAAATGCTCTAACAAACAAATATCCATCAACTATAGAACATATGAATAATTTATGAACTACAATGCAGTGCTTTTAAAAACTTATTTTGCTATATAAAACAATATCAATCAATCTTGTAGATATAATGCTGAGTGAAGGAAATCAGACTAAAGCCACGCAGCAGCCCATGCCTGTTATCCCAGCACTTTGGGAGGCCAAGTCGGGAGGATTGCTTGAGTCTAGGAGTTTAAGATGAGCCCAGACAACATGGTGAGACTCTGCCTCTATAAAAAATAAAATAATTAGGTGTAGTGGCACATGCCTGTGGTCCCAGCTACTCCGGTGGCTAAGGTGGGAGGATTACTTGTGCCCAGGAGGTTGAGGCTGCAGTGAGCCATGTTCACACCTCTGCACTCCAGCCTGGGCAACAGAGTAAGACCCTGTCTCAAAAAAACACTTAAGGAATTAGACACAAAAGAGTGCACACTGTATGATTCCATTTATTTATTTATGTATTTATTTAGAGACAGAGTCTCACTCTGTTGCCCAGGCTAGAGTGCAGTGGTGCGATCTTGGCTCACTGCAACCTCCACCTCCTGGGTTCAAGCAATTCTCCTGCCTCAGCCCCTTGAGTAGCATCCACCACCATGCCTGGCTAATTTTTGTATTTTTAGTAGAGACGGGGTTTCACCCAGTTGGTCAGGCTGATCTCGAACTCCTGACCTCAAGTGATCTGCCTGCCTTGGCCTCCCAAAGTGCTGGGATTACAGGCATGAGCCACTGTGCCCGGTGTACGATTCCATTTTTATGAGGTTAAAAAACGGACAAAAATTAATCTATGGTGCTAGAAACCAGAAAAGTGATTATTTCTTGGTTGGGTGAGTACTGGGAAGGGGATGAGGAAGAAGGCATGTGAGGTTCTGCTCTATTCTGTATTTCGATCTGGGTGGCGGTGACACAGGTGTAGACACATGTAAAAACTCATTGAGTTCAGCCCTTAAGGTTGTGCACCTGACTGTACATGAGCAACACCTCAAAAGAAAAGAAAAAAGTGAAAACAACAAAGAACATCAAAGGCCGTCCAAATCATAACTGACAACACCCATCCTAAAGCCAGCTTTTTTCTCCTCCCCCATTCTGCTACAGTATCCTTCACTGTCCAAACCCTAAAACTCACTGTGGCATCCAGCAAGTACTTTTCTTTCATCTCTCTTTTCTTTTAATTTTAATCCCAGGCATGACTTGGCTTTTTACTAAATCTTTTCCTCTTACACACCCCTTCTTAGGGCCACGTCTTTCTAAGTCCATCTCATTCTCCCAATTCCACGTCATAAAAGATGCAGAATAGAATAGCAAAGACAAAATTCTCTTTACTAGATAGTTACGGAGAGAGAATGAAAGAATGCTTAGCCAGTGACGTATCTTGTTCTCTCATATATCCTCAGTTATAAAGTTAACTGAACTTTCCTAGAGAAAAGGTACCACTGAGTGGCTATTTCCTTTTAGTGACTGTGTACCAGTACAAACATTTGACCAATCTGTCACCTAAAATGTAGTAGTAAGCTTTTGTCTTACTCCTCTTAGCCATATCTACCAGCCTATATCAGATATTTCCTGCAGGAGGTTTTTTTGGTTTTTATGAATTTGTCTTTTGCTGAAAATTGTAAAGGTAAAATTAGGAAGCAGCATGGCATCTGGAGAATGGTAGAAGAAACAAATTGCAATTTCTTAAATATGAATATTGGCAGCACATTTCAACTTTAAAAGGCACTGGTTATGGGCCCAGAGCACATCAGTAATCAACAGCACTTTCCTGGTGTGATTCCACAATGTTAAATATATAGTCTTTGGGCCATGCACAGTGGCTCATGTGTATAATCCCTGCACTTTGGGAGGCCAGGGTGGGAGGATCACTTAAGGCTAGGAGTTTGAGACCAGCCTGTGCAATAAAGCGAGACCCCATCTCCACAAGAAGTTTAAAAATTAGCCAGACATCGCGGTGTGCCCCTGTGGTCCCAGCTACTTAGGAGGCTGAGGCAGGAGGATTGCTTGAGCCTGGGAGGTCAAGGTTATAGTGAGCTATGACCATGCCACTTCACTGCAACCTAGATGCCAGAGACCTTATCTCAAAAAATAAAAATGTATGGTCTTTGACCATTTTTTCTTAATTTAGGGTCTGAGAATATCTGGAGTTCTGCAGATGTATTCTCAAAATCTGCAATAACTTTTCATTTTAAAACAGGTCCATAGGAAGTTATCAGGGGCTATACAGGAAGCAAAATGGGGAGTCATTGTTTAATGGGTTAAAATATTCTGTTTTTTGGGAAGATGAAAAAGTTCTGGAAACAGATAATGGTGACTGTTATACAATGTTGTAAATATACATAATGCCACTGAATTGTATACCTAAAAATAGTTAAAATGCAAATTGTTATATTATGTACGTTTTACAACATTTAAAAAGAAAAGTTCATAGGCACTTCCATTCCCAGCAATATAGCCTATTAGCCATCCTGAAAAAACCATCCTAGTACAAAAAGACCCAAAATATAGAATAACAAATTTAAAACATTTCATAAATGCATAGTTGCAATAGTAGAAAATAAGGGAAATCCTTAGAGTTTAAAAAAAATACAGGATGTAAAAACACAAATCCAGAGAGGTAAGAGAGCTCTAAAGCTAAAGCTCTAAAGCTGGTGGCTTTCCTGATGTCATCTGCTGATCTTAGGTGCTCCAGAGGTGTCACTATAACAGGCCATCTTTGGGGACAGAATATAAAGCTCAGAGACTTAGAAATTGGACCCTCAGAGGGTGAAGCAGAACAAATTAACCATCCCAGAGCAAACCTTAAAGAAATTTCCTGCTCTTGGCCTCAGATGGAGAAGAGAAAAGTCTCCCATGAAATCTTCTGTTTATAAATTGGGCTCCAGGAGGTTTTGGGTTTCTAAGTCTTAGTGATTTCTATTGCTCCTAGTTCCAGCTTCTTTTCCACTGTCTTTTTTAAACTTAAAAAAACATTATAGATCAATTTTCAGGTATAACACACCCAATTCATTCACCTGTTCTTCAATGACATATTTCCCAGATCTTTTACCACCCCTCCCCACCTCAGTAGTCTTCTTTTGGGTACCTTCTGGTTTGTCTCAGTATTCCTCTTAAGGAATCATGGCCATAAATGGAAACAGTGATGCAGATATGGCTAAATATATGCAAAATAAATTGGGATTATTGCTATTCTCGATTGGAGTATTAGTTATCCACTGTTGAATAGCAAATTACTCCCAAAACTTAGTGGCTTGAAATAACAATATTTATGATCTTACCATTTCTGTGGGTCAAGAATCTGTGTGGCATAGCTGGGTCTTCTGGCTCAGGGCCTCTCACAAGGTGGAAGTCAAGGTGTTGGCTACAGTGGCAGTCATCTCAAGGTTCAACTGGGGAAGGACCTACCTCTAAGTTCATTCATGTGGTTGTGAGCCGGATTCCATTTATCACAGGCTATTGGTCTGGGGGCCTCAGTTCGTCACTGGCTGTTGGCCAGAAGATGCCTTCAAGTCCTTGCCACATGGGACTCTATAGAGAACAACTCACAACATAGTAGCTTGCTTCACCAGAGCAAGCAAAGAAAGCCAGAGAGAGAGAGAGCAAGCAAGACAGAAGTCACATTCTTTTATAACCAAATCACAGAAGTAGTAGCCTATCACTTTTGCCATATTCAATTTGTTAGAAGCACATCACTTGGTCCAGCCCACACACACAGAGTGGATTACATAAGGCATGAATAACAAGAAGCTAGGATCAGGAGGAGCCATTTCAGAAGCAGCCTGTCACAACTGGACACCATGCTTCTAATCCTGAACCTAAAACTGTGACCTAAAAAGAGACCCCACATTAATGATTTACTTTAAGTGACCTTAGGTTACTGAGGCCCTTAAGTATTTGCAAAATCAAATAATAATCATTGCTGGAGGAACTTACCTTAAGCCCAAGCATCAAGAGCTTGCACCACCATATGAAGTTCCAACAAACATAGTTCACAATGGAAAAGAAAAAAACACAAGTCACTAAGAGCAACAGTTAGCAGAAACAAAGGACCATACCTGCAGATACTACAGACACTGGAATTATCAGATATACAATATATAGTAAGATGTTTAATATGTAGGATTGAAAGTATGACTGAGGAACAAGAGGGTTTTTGAAAATAGCAAATATTTCTGAAATGAAAACAATACTCTTTCTCCATCTTTTGGCTAAGATCAAGTGAAATGAAAACAAATATAATTCCTAGAAATGAAAAATAAAATAGTTGAAATTAGAAATCAATAGCCTGGTGGCCAGGCTCAGTGGCTCATGCCTCTAATCCCAGCACTTTGGGAGGCCAAGGCAGGTGGATCACTTGAGGTCAGGAGTTTGAGACAAGCCGGGTCAACATAGCAAAACTCCATCTCTACTCAAAATATAAAAAATAAGCTGGGTGTGGTGGCACAGGCCTGTAGTTCCAGCTACTCGGGAGGGTGAGACAGGAGAATTACTTGAACCCAGGAGGCAGAGGTTGCAATGAACCAAGATTGCACTCCAGCCTGGGTAACAGAGTGAGACTCCGTCTCCAAAAAAAAAAGGGAAAGAAATCAATATCCTGGTTAAAACAGCACATCAGGACACGGTGGCTCACATCTGTAATCCCAGCACTTTGGGAGGCCGAGGCGGGCGGATCACGAGGTCAGGAGTTTGAGACCAGCCTGGCCAGTGTGGTAAAACCCTGTCTCTACTAAAAATACAAAAATTAGCTTGGCGTGGTGATGGGTGCCTGAACTTAGCTACTCAGGAGGCTGAGGCAGCAGAATCATTTAAACCTCGGAGGCAGATTCTGCCATTGCACTCCAGCCTGGGTGACACTGCAAGACTAGGTCTCAAAAAAAGAAAACAGCAGATTAGTCACAGTTGAAGTGAGAATTAAGAAACTGAAAGACAGATTTCAAGAAATTACTCAGAATGCAGTAAGGGAAAGACATGAAAATTCCAAAGAGAGGGCAAAAGACACAGAAAATAGAGAAGGTATTATATCTAACTGGATTTTCAAAATGAGATTAAACAGCAAGCAAGAGAGAATATTCAAAGAGAATGACAGCTGGACATGGTGGCTAACAACTGTAATCCAAGTACTTTGGGAGGCCAAGACAGGAGAATCACTTGAGACCAGCCTAGGCAACATAGCAAGACTCTGTCTTTACAAAAATAAATAAATAAATAAATAAATCATTTAAAAAAAATTAGCCAGTCATGGTGGCATGTACCTGTACTTCTAGATATTCAGGAGGCCGAGGCAGGAGGATTGCTTGAGCCCTACAATGAGCTATGATTGCACCACTGCACTCCAGCCTGGGTGACAGTGTGAGAGACCCTCTCTCTGAAAAAGAAAAAGAGAGAGAATGGCAGAGAATTTACCATACGTGATGCAGACAACAAATCCTAAAATTCAGAAGCTAAACTGCCCTGGTTATTTACCTATTTTTCAACTCCACACTCATCCTCCTATTTCCTGCAAAATAATGCTAGGATGGAATGTCTTCAAAGCACTTTTCCAGGCTCTGTTAGTGGCTGGCTTCCTCTAAGGTCCCACCAATAACAGGCACTGGTCAGTGATCATAGGTAGAAAAGGGGAATAGCAGCAGTTCTTCCTCTCTCTTTTTTGCTCTTTTTCTTCTGGCTCTAAGCTCTCAGCAATAGCACTTCCTCCAACCATTCAGTCCCAGTAGCCCAACAATTCCAGAGATGGTGGTCCCTCCTCTTCTCTCCTAGATTTTAGATTCTGGTAATGCAACTTACTCTCTTTGATTCCTTGAACACTAGAGATGTTATAACTACTTTCTGTATTTTCTAATCTCTGGCCTACCTCACCTTTGTTCCTCTTTCAACCTTTTGATATATGTGTATCTAATTCCCTTATAAAAATCCTCTCCGTTTAAAAATACCTAGCATGGTTTCTGTTTTCCTGCCTGGACTGTGACTCAAATACCAACAAATTCCAATCAGGAAAAATAAAAAGAAATCCACACCTAGACACATCAAAGTCAAATTTACAACATTAGAAAGAGGACAGATTGCCTAAAAGAAGTGACTGGTGGATTGATGATAGACTGCTTACCCATAACAATGGAAGCCAGAAAATAAGTACCCTTCTCAAAGTGCTGAGTAAAAACAACTGTCAGCCTAGAAGTACATACTCTATGAAACTATCATCTCAAAATAAGAGGGAAATCAAGATATTTTTCAGACAAAACTCAAGTGTTTTCCACAAACTGAGACTCTCCAAAGAAATTCCCAAAAGATATACTTCCAGAAGAAGACAAATTGTCCCAAAAGGAAAGGCCTGAAATGTTACCAGGCAATGGTGAGCAAAAAAAAAAAAAAGGTTAGCATCCAGTTATCTAAAGAAATACTGCCTCTAGGCCGTGCACAGTGGCTGACACCTGTAATCCCAGCACTTTGGGAGGCTGAGGTGGGTGGATCACCTGAGGTTGGGAGTTCAAGACCAGCCTGATCAACATGGAGAAACCCTGTATCTACTAAAAATACAAAAAAAAAAGAGCCAGGTGTGGTGGTGTGTGCCTGTAACCCCAGCTACTTGGGAGGCTGAAGCAGGAGAATCGCTTTAACCTGGGAGACAGGTTGCGGTGAGGGGATATCACGCCATTGCACTCCAGCCTGGGCAACAAGAGTCATCTAAAAAAAAAAAAAAAAAGAAAGAAAGAAAGACACCTCTAATAAACAAAAAGAATATCTAGTTTACATGCTTAAATAACATCAATAGAGAAAAATACCAGAAAAAATGACACAAAAGTCATGCGTAGGGTAATGATCATTAAAGCTTTCGAAGGACCTGATATTATTCAAGAGAATGCTAAGGGTATTGACCAATTTTAGACTATGCTGAGTTACATAACAGACATACACTGAAGTTAAGTCCATCTCTATTATTTAACTCAGCATGGTCTCAAAGACCTGGCCTTGAGATCTAGGGTTTAGTTTCCCCCTCAGCCTTGCCTTTAGAAATCCTATTGGCCAAATGCCTACTTCAACACCATTTCTGGCATCCCTGAAAGTTGCCCAACCAGTTTTCATATGATTGAGTAGGTACTATCATATTTAATTAGTGAAACAATGTCTGTAATATGAATAAGGGCTGTGCGCGGTCCCTCATGCCTGTAGTACCAGCACTTTGGGAGGCTGAGGCAGGCAGATCATGAGGCCAAGAGATCAAGACCATCCTAGCTAACACAGTGAAACCCTGTCTCTACTAAAAATACAAAAAATTAGCCAGGCATGGTGGCACATGCCTGTAGTCCCAGCTACTCGGGAGGCTGAGGCAGGAGAATTGCTTGAACCTGGGAGGTGGAGGTTGCAGTGAGCCAAGATCATGCCATTGCACTCCAGTCTGGGAGACAGAGCAAGACTCTGTCTCAAAAAAAAAAAAACAAATAAAATAAAATAAATGAATAAGGTATGCCACTCAGATGAATTGAAAATACTTTAATATTTACTTTCAAATATACATAAGCATTCTAAGAATAACTTGGAGTAAAATTTTTCTTTATGAGCTTTCTAAGTTGATAGCTATCACTTAAATTACAAAATCTTATTCATTGGTTTACTATACTCAGTACTGAAGAATAAAATTCTGCAATAATTATGATTTTTAAAACTATTGACATAGAAAACCAATCATTAGCAATCTGCATTGTTCACCTTCTGCTATGTTATACTGCAGCAACAAACCCTAAAATAAACAACGGTATCTAATTTTGTGTTTCTTAATTCAACTTAGGCAGTAAGTCTTAGAAGTAAAAGTATTACTAGGGAATTCTTCACATCTTGCAAGAATAAATTTAAAGCAGAATTTTAGCTTTGCCACCTTAAAATTTCACAAGCAGGAAAAACTCAAAAATTCTGCTCAAAGAATCTCAAACTTCTTGAGGCCAGGCACAGTGGCTCATGCCTCTAAGCCCAGCACTTTGGGAGGTTGAGGTGGGTGGATCACTTGAGGTCAGGATTCAAGACCAGCCTGGCCAACATGGTGAAACCCTGCCTCTGTCAAAATACAAAATTTAGCCAGGCTTGGTGGCGCACACCTGTAATCGCAGCCACTCCAGAGGCTGAGGCAGGAGAATCGCTTGAACCCGGCAGGCGGAGGTTGCAGTGAGCGGAGATCGCGCCACTGCACTCCAGTCTGGGTGACAGAGTGACACTCCATCTCAAAAAATAAATAAATAAAAACATCCTTGATGAACCATTTTCAGTTTAGATATAACAAATATAAAATACAAAGAGTCAAATAAAGTGTTAGAGCAAAATGAGGTATCAAAACACAGTTTATTCTCACTTATCAAACTTAAAATGATAAATTTTAGAAAAAGGCTTTGAGAATTCCTTATAGTTATGTCTAAGAAGGTAAAAGTTAAAGAGAAGCCTTATTGATCTTATTACTACAGACCAGGAGTTGGCAAAATTTTTGTTAAAGGCCAGAGAGTAAATATCCTAGGCTTTGCAGGTCATAAGCTCTCTATCACAACTGACCAACTCTGTTGTTGTATAAAGCTGCCATAGATAATATGCAACAAATTAGCATGGCTGTATTCTAATAAAACTTTACTTATAATGGCACATGCCTATAATCTCAACACTTTGAGAGGCTGAGGCAAGAGAATCACTTGAGCCCAGGAGTGTGAGACCAGCCTGGGCAACATAATGAGATTCTGTCTCTACAAAAATATATTTTTTTAATTAGCCAGGCATAGTGGTGAAACAGGAAAGGTGCCCTTGTTCCCATCGCAGGGCATGCAACAGGAGGAGTGGCTCACTTCTTCAGTGCCCCATTGCTCAAACCTCTAGGGGAGCGTACAGTTCGGCAGGTTGTGGGGCTCTGACCCCACAGCAGCATCTAGGGGTGAATGTTTACAGCTCCTGAAGCCCCAGTAGGTGTGTGTTACCATGTGCTCTTTCAGTTTTTTTGTCTGTAGGCAGCTTGTATTTATCAGCTCAATTAGACCCTCTGACTTACCACAAGGACAGAGGGCTTTCTGTATCCCAGGTTCTTACCTTGGTGTACTGGAAAAGTTGGATCATATGTGGGCTTGGAGAATGAGTGCAAGGTTTTATTGAATGGTCGAAGTAGCTCTCAGCAAATGGATGGGAAGCCAGCTGGAACGGGAGTGGGAAGGTGGTTATCCCCTAGATTCGGGCAGCCTGACTCTCCTCCCATTACCTCAGCCAAACTCCACGTTGTTCTGCTGGCCTGCCGGCATCTGCCAATGCCTGTTGGTGTGCTCTTCAAATGCTGTGTTCCTCTTGACACCCAGCCACTTGTGTACCTGCCCGCTAGGGTCTCAGAGCTTTTATATGCACATAATGGGGATATGCCAGGCCAGGGTATTCTAGGAAAACATTTGGACAGAAAAACAGAAATGCCTGTCCTCACCTAGGTTGGTGGTCACAGGCCGGGGGTTGGAGCTCTACCTAGGGACCAGGCCCTTCTCTTCCCAGGACTTCTCTGCCCCGGTCCCATATCAGTGGCATGCACCTGTGGTCCCAGCTACTAGAGAGGCTGAAGTGGGAGGGCTGCTTGAGCCCAGGACTTCAAGCCATGCCACTGTACTCCAGCCTGGGCAACAGAGCAAGACCCTGTCTCAAAAATGAAAAAACAGGCTAGATTTGCCCTCTAGGCAATAGTTTGACAATCCCTACTATAGACCGTGAACTATTTTCAGTAGGTGAAGATGAAAGATTTTTGAGATTTGCTGAAGCTTTGAATCCTACTTAAGGTCCTTCTAGAAAATTTATTATCAAAAAACAGTTTCTTGAATTATATTCTGTTGTGTATAGAATGGCTATGATAGTATTAAATGCACTATCTTGGACATCAAGACATTTGGATATGCTGAAACAACTACATGTCATATTTAAGTTTAACAGCATGGTAGATTAATGATGAATTCAACTCCTGCTTGATTGTTGGGAGATCACTGAGGTCTCAGACAGCTATTAATATAATACATTCTGATTGAAGATCTATTTATAGGACAGCAATCAGTAAAGAAGAGTGTCATTCAATTGTTATCAACAATATAACCAACATGGTGAAGGGGCAGATAGTAAGTATCTTAGGCTGATTTAGGCACCACAAGCATACAATGTTCACATACCCTTCAGTACTGCAATCAGAAAGCAACTATAACTGTCTATACGCAGAAATTTAGTAGGCCACTTAATGATACCTCAGTCAAGACAAAATAAATGATGTCCAGAGATTTTGGAATGGCCTTGTCATATATTTAACAAGATATTTAAACAAAATGGAATAGCAGCTACTACATGTTTAAAAGCCAAGTTGAGGCCGGGCACGGTGGCTCACGCCTATAATCCCAGCACTTTGGGAGGCCGAGGCAGGTGGATCACGAGGTCAAGAGATCGAGACCATCCTGGTCAACATGGTGAAACCCCGTCTCTATTAAAAATACAAAAATTAGCTGGGCATGGTGGTGTGTGCTTGTAGTCCCAGCTACTTGGGAGGCTGAGGCAGGAGAATTGCCTGAACCTAGGAGGCAGAGGTTGCAGTGAGCCGAGATTGCACCATTGCACTCCAGCCTGGGTAACAAGAGCGAAACTCCGTCTCAAAAAAAAAAGCCAAGTTGAGTGAAACAAAACCAATATACTTTTTAGATGAAAATACATTTTAACTTATTAAAAATGCTTGCAGAGAAAGCAGTCTGCTTGCTGAAACCTGAAGAAAAAGTAAATAACCAAGCGAATGCTTTCAGAGTGCAAGTATTTCTTATATGAGAGCTGCTGAAAAATATTCCCGTATTCTACTCCAGTAAGGTGCTTATACTGGTGTACATGATATAAAACTGAAACACAGATAGAAAGCCTGAGATGATTGGTTTCTTGAAAGCCAATTATATTGCTCCATTGCTATTGGTAGAATCAAGTTTTAAGGACAGATTTTTTCAAGTGACTGTGTAAAAGCACCATGTACAGATAAAAAAAATAGAAAGTGAAAACAATACTTTCTGAAAAGTTTTAGAAAATATTTTCTCCGATTGATACTCAAAGCTTGCATTTGTGGGACTACTCCAATCAAACTGCACCATCACTGACAATCACAACAAGACTAAGATTTTAACAGAGATGAATCTTCACCTTAGTTGGTTCCTATTAAACAGAAAGAAAGCTTAATAACTTTATGGCAACATTGACACTAGTATCCCATAATGGCAGAGCTAACCAAACATCTGCTACTCTACCCTCCTTAGGTGAAAGTGAACATCTATTTCTGTGGTGCATAACACTAGTATTAAGGTGAGGCACAGTGCCTCACACCTCTAAATCCCAGCATTTTGGGAGGCCAAGGTGGGAGGATTGCTTGAGTCCAGGAGTTTGAGACCAGCCTGGGCAACAACGCGAGGCCTTCATCTCTACAAAAAAAAATTTTTTTTTTTAATTAGCCAGATATGGTGGCACATACCTGTTGTCCCAGATACTTCAGAAGCTGAGTTGGGAGGATTACTTGCCCAGAAAGTTGAGGCTGAAGTGAGCTGTGATGGTACTTGAGCCTGGGGAACAAAGCAAGACTCTGCCTTACAAAAAAAAAACAAAAAACAAAAAACTGTGTGAAAGAAAAATGAATCTTGGGACCCCAAAATCACTAAGCCAAAGGGAAAAGGCAAGCAGGGAAATGCATCAGGCAAACCTGCCTCCCATTTTAGTCCCAAATAAGATAGCTACAAAGATATTTTTTAAAAAGCTACATACCTCCCTCACAACTGGCCCACAACGAATTTCCCTAAAACAGTTCTGTTTAATTTTACCCTGGTAATGTAAATTGATAGCTTATCTTCACAGGTACAGGACAAAAAGGACAGAACTCAAAGTCATTCTGCTACTCACCTAGATAAATGCTTATCTGATTGCTTCCTTTGTTTTTGTTTTTTGTTTTAAGACGAATTTCACTCTTTTGCCCAGGCTTGAGTGAAGTGGCATGATCTTAGCTCACTGCAATGTCTGCCTCCCACTCCACCCTCCCTGTCTGGTTCAAGTGATTCTTCTGCCTTAGCCTCCCAAGTAGCTGGGATTATAGGCGCCTGCCACCACGCCCAGCTAATTTTTGTATTTTTAGTAGAGATGGGGTTTCACCATGTTGGCCACCCTGGTCTCGACCTCCTGACCTCAGGTGATCCACCTGCCTTGGCCTCCCAAAGTGCTAGGATTACAGGTGTGAGCCACCGCACCTGGCTGGATTGCTTCCTTTGTTTATGTAAAAATGCAAAGTCACTGAATCAGACTAAGGCATAAATGACTATTTCTCTACTCCCAAAGCATAAGCTAGGTTATCCTGACTACTGCAAGTTAATGTCATAAATATAGACTATAATGATCCCAGAAGCAAACTATCAGCTGACATCGATGAGAAATACATATTTCTGAATGTCATGTCAAACTTTAAAATTTTGAATAGGAGCCGGACACGGTGGCTCATGCCTATAATCTGAGCACTTTGGGAGGCTGAGGCAGATGGATCGTTGGAGGTCAGGAGTTCGAGCGCAGCCTGGCCAATATGGTGAAACCCTGTCTCTACTAAAAACACAAAAATTAGCCAGGTGTGGTGGTGGGCGCCCGTAGTCCCAGCTACTCAGGAGACTGAGGCAGGAGAATTGCTTGAACCCAGGAGGTGGAGGTTGCAGTGAGCCAAGATCGTGCCACTGACTTCAGCCTGGGCAACAGAGCAAGACTCTGTCTCAAAAAAAAAAAAAAAAACTGAAACAACAGGTGCCAGAGAGGATGTGGAGAAATAGGAACACTTTTACACTGTTGGTGGGAGTGTAAATTAGTTCAACCATTGTGGAAGACAGTGTGGCGATTCCTCAAGGACCTAGAAATAGAAATTCCATTTGACCCAGCAATCCCATTACTGGGTATATATCCAAAGGATTATAAATCATTCTATTATAAGGACAGATGGACACAAATGTTCATTGTGGCTCTGTTTACAATAGCTAAGACTTGGAACCAACCCAAATGCCCATTGATGGTAGACTGGACAGGGAAAATGTGGCACATATACACCATGGAATACTATGCAGCCATAAAAAAAGATGAGTTCGTGTCCTTTGTAGGGACATGGATGAACCTGAAAACCATCATTCTCAGCAAACTGACACAAGAACAGAAAATCAAACACCGCATGTTCTCGCTCATAGGCGGGTGTTGAACAATGAGAACACATGGACACAGGGAAGGGAGCATCACACACTGGGGTCTGTGGGGGGGAACTAGGGGAGGGACAGCAGGAGGTAGGAAGTTGGGGAGGGATAACATGGGAGAAATGCCAGATATAGGTGATGGGGAGGAAGGCAACAAACCACATTGCCATGTATGTACCTATGCAACAATCCTGCATGTTCTTCATATGTACCCCAAAACCTAAAATGCAATTTTATGTGTGTGTGTGTGTGTGTGTGTGTGTGTGTGTAAAATGTATCATACTAATATGTTAACAATAGGCGAAACTGGCTGTCAGGTAGGGTATGTGGGAATTCTTTGTTCTAGCTTCTCAATTTTTTTGTAAGTCTAAAACTGTTCTAAAAAAGTAAAATTTATTTAGAAAAAAACTGAATAGCAATACTTTGTCATTGAAAAATATAAGTTGTATATTTTTATCATGTATGTGTTATTTTGAAATATGTATACATTATGTATGACACACTGAATAATATTTTCAATAAGACTAATACTAAAATTTAATTTTTATATTTAACATATATTCTTTTATTGCTGAAGTTTATTATGTAATGGTGATATTCTGCTTCAGCCAAATACTGACTTTTAACATTCAGCTCCTTTGCATTCAGCCAATATATATATTCTGTGCCCCTCTAAAAATAATATACATACAAATGATGTAAATTCAAGCTTGGCTGTGTGTCCTTTATTTAAAATACTTGCTTCACAGAAACCTGAGACAATTTGTAAATTAAGTCATACATTTATTCTAAGGAAGAATACCTTGATCTTCTAGAATTCAGGCATTCTTTGCTGCCACCTTGCATCCTCTATCCTGTCTTTTCTGCTGCCACCAGCTGGCTTCCACTACTGCTAAATTCCAGCAACCAGCAGGATTCAATTCAGTGCTTTGTTTTGACTGCTGAGTCCCTGATGAAAACACGAAGTCAGTTGAATAACTAAATTTTTAGGCTGGAAACAGAAAAGCACAACCAATTCATTTCCTGTGTACTATGGACTATCAGATAGCCACATGGTATCTGGTACTTGTCCCAGTAAGTAGTACAGACAAGGCTGCAGATTAACAAAAGAAAAGATATTTCCATTCTTAAGTCAATATTCTGCTCCCAGAGAAGAATATTGTTAAAAACTACAGAGTCATTATATAAGAACAAACAAAGGTCAGATCAAACACAATAGTGTATGAATAGTCTCAGTATATGGCCCGGCATGATGGCTCATGCCTGTAATCCCAGTACTTTGGGATGTGGAGGCTGGCTGAACATCTGAGGTCAGGAAGTCAAGACCAGCCTGGCCAACATACTGAAACCTCATCTCTATGAAAAATACAAAAATTAGCTGAGAGTGGTGGTAGGTACCTATAATTCAAGCTACTCGGAGGCTGAGGCAGGAGAATCACTTGAACCTGGGAGGCAGAGGTTGCAGTCAGCCAAGATTGTGCCACTGCACTCCAACCTGAGTGACAAAAGCAAGACTCTATCTCAAAAAAAAAAGTCTCAGTATAGTGTTAAGCTTTTAATAACTTCAGGAGGATAAATTCCATGAACTTATACATCATTTGAAAGTAAAATTATTTAACTGTATTTCATGCTTATTTGGTTTGTGATTTTTTGAAAAGTGTTTTTTTTTTTGTTTCAGTCAATGTTTGCCATCTTCTGTTAGAGGGACTAAAAAATTTTAAAATGTTCGAAATTTACAGAATAAAATAAGCATATAAGAAATTTAAATAAACTTTCAAGTGACTTTTTGCAAGTTTGTAGCATTAATGCTTCAGAAAGTATTAAAGCTTAAAACAGCACTAAGACTTTTGGGACACTTGTATATGGAGAAGTACAGGGTGCTTGAATATAAACTTTTATAATTTACACCCAGCTATGTTCAAAGAAAACTGAAATCATTTATAACAACACATACACACACAAATAAGCAAAGATATGTAAAACAGTCATAAGCTATCTTGAGAGACATGTGCCTAAGTGAGTAAAACTTCAGGAAAAGTAGGGAGAATGAGGCAAATTAGTAGTAATATTTGTAATATAGGTTTCTGATATTCTATATTTTCATTTGGAAGGGGGTTGAGAATACATTTTTATTTGGGATACGTGTTCTTGAGATAGTATTATGTTCTCAATATTTTGGTATTAGCATTATTACAGCTAATGAGGCTTTTCCAGAAAAGCTGAAACAAGTAACTTTTAAAGATGCACATTAATAGAATGAAAAAATAAATAAATAGTTTTCTTTCCTCTTAGAGATTATCTAGTTCAGTGGTTCTCAACCTTGGCTGCACAGTGCAATGACTTGAGGAGCTTAAAAAGTATAAATGCTTGTGTCCCACCGAGCATTTGATTTAATTGGTCGAGGATACAGAATGGGCATCAGGAATTTTAAAAGACTCTTGGTGATCCTAAAGTTCAGGTAAGGCTGAGAACCACTGCTTTAGTTCAATATATAATCAGGTATATACATCAACATTAAAATGTATAGGTGTTCAGAGCTCTGATTTTTAACCATAGCCCCATCTCAAATATATTAATGGAAAAGGTTGAAAAAAGAACTTAATTTCTTTTCTTTTTCTTTTTCTTTCTTTTTTTTTTTTTGAGACGGAGTCTCGCTCTGTCACCAAGGCTGGAGTGCAGTGGCTCGATTTTGGCCCACTGCAACCTCTGCCTCCTGGATTCAAGCGATTCTTCTGCCTCAGCCTCCCGAGTAGCTGGGACTACAGGCATGTGCCATCATGCCCGTATGATTTTTCTGTACTATTAGTAGAGCGGGGGTTCACCGTATTTGCCAGGCTGGTCTCAAACTCCTGACCTCGGGATATGACCTCCTCGGCTTCCCAAAGTGCTGGGATTACAGGCGTGAGCCACCGGGCTTGGCTAAAAGAGCCTAATTTAATCAACATGGATAAATTTCAAAAAATGTGTTGAACGAAATAAGCCAGACATAGAGTACTTATCGCATTCTATTTACATAAAGTTAAAAAAATCAGAACGGGGGAGGGGCTATTAACTAGGAAGGGATGCAAGAAGGAAAATTCCTGAGAGGGAAATTTTCTCTATTTTGATTAGGTACACGGATATAAATATTTATCAAAATTCATAGAAATGGGCAATTGAGAACTGTATGTATGATTTCATTATATGTAAATTACAGTTCAGTAAAAAGGATAAACATAATTAAATCTGGATTATCTATGACAGGGTCGAGGAGGGAGAGACGATTACTTCAGATGACCCCAAATCCTCATAGGTTAAAAGAAACAGCAAACCCCTGTCCAGAACTGGCGAGAATGGAGAGTAGACAGCAGGGAGAGCCAAAGCCTAAGAAGTCGCTAGAGACTAGACACCGAGTTCGAACTACCGCCAGGACGGCGGCGCCCGAGCGCCCACAAAAATAAGCCCCCGCGCCATTTCCGGTACTCGCAAATCCGCCCGTGTGTCCTCACAGGAAGAGTCCGGTGGGAAACTGCAGGGAAGCAGCCGGCGGTAGCTTGGTTCCTGCGCGGATGCTGGGGCTGTAAGGCGCGAGCGGTCAGCTGTTTGCAGTGCAGGGAGGACGCCGGGGCTTGCCTTCTCTCCTCTGCCGCCGCCGCCGCCGCCATGATTCCGGTGTCGCTGGTGGTGGTGGTGGTGGGTGGCTGGACTGTTGTCTACCTGACCGACTTGGTGCTGAAGGTGAGGGCCTTGGGCCTAAAGTCCAAGCCCGCGGTGCCCATGGCCGAAGCGCAAGGCCCTGTGTGTCGCCCAAGGCCTTCTTTTCTCTTCCCCTGCCTCGCGCCTCCCGGGCTGGACGGTGCCCACGTGCGACAGTCCGCGTGACGAATCGGCCCGGTGGAGTAAATAAAGCATTGCCGGCCGCGGGAGGGGTGTGGTGTCCTGCGCGGCTGCCACTGTCGCAATGCGGGGCAGTGCAGGCCCTTCAGCCTTCCGGGTCCTGCCCAGGAGGCGCCAGTGGTGGGATCGGGAGGGCTGGGGCCCTGTCAGACCCAGCAGCTGCAGTGCAGCAGGGAGGAAAAGAAAACGTCTGCTTACTGAAGACAGTGTTTTCCCTTATTGTTTTTCAGGTCAAGACCCTCTAGAGACTCAGATATTGGAATGAATCTAAATCAAGCTGTGATTTAGACCAGTAGTCTCAAATTTTAAAATGCATATGATCATCTGGTGTTGCTGTCAAAATGCAGATTCCGATTCAGGTCTGTGGCACGGGCTAAAATTCTGCATTTCTAACCAGTTCCCAAGTGCTACTGATGTTACCATTTCACAGAGTGTATTTCAAAGTTGCACGCTCAAGTAGCAAGGATTTATGTAACAAGTTTCTGACTCCTTGAATTCTGATTTGCACCCTGCATCCCCCTTCTTCACATTAACCAGATATCCTGTGTGCACGGTTCATTTTTCAGTTATTTGAGAAGGGTAGCAAAAAATCAGAAAGAGTTGTCTGACCACATGCTTCAGGCAAGCTTTCAGAATTGAGCATTGGCGAGTAGGGGATGGGGGAGAGTATATATATGGAATAAGTTCATATAAATTCTTAAATGTTTAATAATTCCAGTTATGAATAGCAAAACCTTCATGTTATGAATACCACTTAAAATAGAAAACCATAGTATTATGTGTTTTAGCTTTAACAATAAAATGAAATGAGACTTTCCTTTCTTTCTATCATTTAAACTTGTAAAGTGCAGGAGGTTATATAGCATAGTCCTTAGATCCAGGGCTGGGCTTCTAGTCAATGAGACCTTGAGCAAATTGCTATCTATCTTGGTTTCTCATCTTTAAATAGAGATAATACTAAGGATCTCCTAAGATTATAGAGAGAATTACATTAGTGTATCCACATAAAGTCTTGCTCCTCAACCTGAGGTTCAAGGACCAGTAGCACTTGCATCATTTGGGAGCTTGTTAGAAATGCAGAATCTCTTGCTTATAGCCATTACTGGAGATAGTGAAAAAGAAAAAAAAAAGAAATGCAGAATCTCTGCCAGGCACAGTGGCTCACGCCTGTAATCCCAGCACTTTGGGAGGCTGAAGCGGGCAGATCACAAAGTCATGAGTTTGTAACCAGCCTGACCAACATGATGAAACCCCGTCTCTACTAAAAATACAAAAATTAGCCGGACTTGGTGGTGCATGCCTGTAATCCCAGCTATTCAGGAGGCTGAGGCAGGAGAATCTCTTGAACCTGGAAGGTGGAGGTTGCAGTGAGCCGAGATTGTGCCACTGCACTCCAGCCTGGGCAACAATAGCAAAACTCTGTCTCAAAAAAAAGAAAGAAATGCAGAATCTCAGGCCTCATTCCTGATCTAGGGAATCAGAATCTGCATCTTAGCAAGATCCCAGGCGATTCTTCTGCAGCTGTTTGTGTTTGAAAAGCATCGATTTAGCTGGTCATAGTGGCTCACACCTGTAATCCCAGCACTTTGCGGGAGGCTAAGGTGGGAGGATTGCCTAAGTCCAGGAGTTTGACACTAGCCTGGGCAATAAGTGAGACTTTATTTCTGCAAAAAAATTTAAAAATTAGCCAACCATGGTGGTGCATGCCTGTAGTCCCAACTACTCTGGAGGCTGAAGTAGGAGGATTGCTTGAGTCTGAGCGTCAGAGGTTACAGTGAACCAAGATCGTACCATTGTACTTCTTGTCTGCCTGGGCAACAGAGCAAGACCTTGTCTCAAAAAAAAAAAAGGAAAAAACACTGATGTAAAGTACTTGGCATAGTGCTTAACATGCCATAAGCAATACAGGCCACAGTGATTTTATTGTTTGAAAAAACCACATGAGCCAGGCATGGTGGTACAGCCTATAGTCCCAGCTACTTGTGAGGAAGAGATGGGAGGATTGCTTGAGGCCAGGAGTTCCAGACCAGCCTGAGCAAGATAGTAAGACCCACACACAAAGTCACATGATTTCTTCATGTTGTGTATGTGAAAAAAAATCGAAAAAATAACTTTTACAGTCTCTAGTCACAAGTGTGTGAGGTGACCAAGATGTCACTGGTTTCAGTGACAGCCTCTAACTCCTTAAGAGAGCACCATCCTCTGAGCAAAAGACCTAACATTCATTCAGAGTATCTGCCTGGGAAATGGAGAGACCTCAACTTTTAGGAGCCTGCAGCTTTAGCTTCTCTGCTTCCAGTGTTCCACCCTTGGTTTTTCTCATATTTCTGCATAGACATTTGTTGGAGAAGTGTGTTACTCCTTTTCCAAGTCTTGGAAAACAAACAGACAAAAAAAACTGCCTGAAGACTGAGAGCAGATAACATTACAGATCTAAAGCAAACAGCTATCTATATTCAGACTGTGGTCAGTTTTTAAGACTATGATAGGGATAAGATTTCCTTCTCGGACAGATAAGTTTCTCACATGGGTGGGCATCAATATAACAATACTTACTGTAACTGTGTCAGGTATATAACACAGCCATATGTCATCCAAAATCCTGTATTAGTTAAGGACTTCAGCCTTCCCTAAAGGTAAAACTCTTGCTGGGGCTGTGTATAAGCAGCTATCCCCACAAACCCAGATAATTTAAGAGGCATTATTGAGACCAAGACGGCTTTAGATAAGTTTTGTACTTTTTACATGATCAAGATTGACCTAACTTCTTAGAGTTGTTGCTCAGAAGAAGAAAGCAAGCACTAATCACAACTGTCCCTTCTCTTGGATTGATCAGGTTTTTTTTTTTTAATGATAACACAACGCTTCTAGACCAGTGCTGCCCAATATGGTAGCTATTAGCTACACGTGGTTATTGAGCCTTTGAATCAGAGCTAGTCCAAATTAAGATGCGCTCTAAGTATAAAGTTGACATTGAAATTCAACGAATTAGCAGCCCCCCCAAAAAATAAAGTATCTCAACAATACTGTATGTTGATTACATGTTAAAATATCTTGGATATTTTGGGGTAAAAGTATATGAAAATTATTTAAAATTTGCCTACTAAGCAATTTAAAGTTATATATGTGGCTTGCATTTGTGGCTCATGTTATATTTCTATTGGACCACACTGTTCTAAGCAGGGGTCAGCAAACTTTTTGTAAAGGACTTGGTAATAAGTATTTTAGGTTTTGTGGGTCACACAGGGACTCTGTCACATATTTTTGGGTTTTGTTGACTTTTTATAATCCCTTAAGAAGGTGAAAAGTATTCTTAGCTCACAAGTTGTATGCAAACAGTCTGTAGTTTGGATTTGGCCTGTGGCCCATAGTTTACCAGACCCTAATCTCAGTAGACCAGTTAGGTCTGTGACCTTTAATATTCTGAAGAATAAACATAAAGCTTTAAGATTATAAGCATTTTTGCAGTCAGCATCTTGATTTCCTCTAGGAAATACTTTATTTTCTTACAAATTATAAATTGTTCTTCAAAATTGAGTGATGTAGAACTTTTCTTTCTCCTTAGTCATCTGTCTATTTTAAACATTCTTACGAAGACTGGCTGGAAAACAATGGATTGAGCATCTCCCCTTTCCACATAAGATGGCAAACTGCTGTTTTCAATCGTGCCTTTTACAGTTGGGGACGGCGGAAAGCGAGGATGCTTTACCAATGGTATTCTTCATCTTTTTTTTTGGTTTAAGTTAATTATTAAGTGATCATGATGGATAGCTTGTAAATTAACTATTTTCATCATTTTACAGTCTTCTGAGTTTTAAAATATTGACAGTTTTAACTTTCTGGTTTTATATAACCTTATTGGATGTATCATTGTGGTTTACATACATTAAAAATTGAGGTATTTATGGCAATTTATGGTTAGGGCTTTACACTGATCTCTGAGATACCCAATATACTGGCAGGTTCTGTAGATGAGAGAATGTGAGGATCAGGGGTAGCATGGTCTAAATTCATTTTTGTTAAAAATTTAGCCCCAAATGGATTAGAGATAAATATAAACTATCAAATTATCAGAGTTAGCGGAAAATGCAATAGCAGATCAAAGCATACAAAGTAGAAAGAAGGATATAATAAAAATAAGAACAGAAATCAGTGAAATAGAAAATATACAATAGAGAAAATCAGCAAAGCCAAAAGTTGGTTCTTTGAAAATATTATTTGGGCCGGGCTTGGTGGCTCATGCCTGTAATCCCAGCACTTTGGGAGGCCGAGGCAGGTGGATTGCTTGAGGCCAGGAGTTCCAGACCAGACTGGCCAACATGGTGAAATTCTGTCTCTACTACAAATACAAATATTAGCTGGGCATGGTGGCGCCCATCTGTGGTCCCAGCTACTTGGGAGGCTAAGGCACGAGAATCACTTGAACCCAAGAGGCGGAGGTTGCAGTGAGCCAGTATCACAGCCCTGCACTGCAGCCTGGATGACAGAGCAAGACCCTGTCTCAAATAAATGAGTAAATAGAAAATATTAATTGATAAATCCCTACCATGACTGATCAAGGGAAAAGAGACATAAGTAATTAAAAATGAGAATTGAGGCCAGGCACGTGGCCGATGCCTATAATCCCAGCAGTTTAGGAGATCGAGATGGGCGGATTGCTTCACCCCAGGAGTTCGAGACCAGCCTGGGTAACATGGTAAAACACCATATCTACAAAAAATATAAAACTTAGCCAGACTTGGTAGCATGGGTGTGTAGTCCCAGCTACTCGGGAGGCTGAAGTGGGAGGACCACTTGAGCCTGGAAGGTCATGGCTGCAGTGAGCTATGACTGTGCCACTGCACTCCAGCCTAGGTGACATAGTGAGACCCTGTTTCAAAAAGAAAAATGGGAATTGAAAAGAGGACATTACTACTGATTCTGTAGACATTAAAAAACTAGTAAGACTATTAAGAACAATTCTATGCCTATAAATTTGGCAGTTTTAATGAAATGAACAAGTTCCTTGAAAAGCACAACTTATCAAAGTTAGAAAACGTAGCAGATTATCTCTACTATAGAAGGGTAGCTTCTAATGATTAAAACAATAGAAGAAAGAAACTATCACTAAATTGTACCATGTTAATATTTAAGCTCATTTTATCACAAAATAAAGCTGAAATACAATGCAGACACTAGAAGAGGTAGATGAAAAGATAGATGTCTTTGATGACAAAAGGGCTTTCGTAACAACATAAGGATAAGATAAAAACAATGTTATGTAAATGAGCAAATGCATGAAAAGAAACAAACTTTTTTATTGGGAATGATATTCAGATTCTTTAGTTATCAGAAAATTATAAATTATTGAACTGCTTAAACTAGTGCTCATGCTTCAGTCAAATATTTGAAGTTTATGTAGGAAAAAGAGACAGTTATTGAAATTTTTTAGCCATTATTTTGAAGCTATGAAATGTGGCTGGTCAGTGAATTTGCTAGTCCATGAATTGAGAGAAATTGTAAATTTACATGATTTTTTTTTTCCTTTTGACAGGTTCAATTTTGGAATGGTGTTTGGTGTAATTGCCATGTTTAGCTCATTTTTTCTCCTTGGAAAAACGCTGATGCAGACTCTGGCGCAAATGATGGCTGACTCTCCCTCTTCTTATTCTTCCTCCTCTTCTTCATCCTCTTCCTCTTCGCTTCACAATGAACAGGTGTTACAAGTTGTGGTAAGCATCATCTTTTTGCTTTAAATAATTACCGAAATAGAGATAGAAGATATCAGTTCTGATCTAGTATAACTCCTATCCATAATATAAATATGAAATGAATTAAAAGTCTCATAATTTTCAAATTACCTGCTTACACAAAAAAACAATAATAAGAATACAGCAAGGAATTGTTGAAATATTCAGTAGTAGTGGTAGCATTAATGGTAACAGAGAACAAGTGAACCACCATTAAGACTGTCAGCAATTACACAGATATGTGACTGAATTCACATCTTTTTAAGATGTTAAATGATTGTTACTTTCAAGGAATAAGCATGCTAATTTAAGATCTCTATAATATGTAAGTAAATTGCATTCCAATTCTATGCAAAGTGTTTCCTTTTTATGGCCCTCAGAGTCTAACCAATAATATCCTTTTAATTAAAGATGTAAGACCTTTCTGAATGGCCACTGTGATTTCTTTCTTTTTTTTTTTTTTTTTTGAGACAGAGTTTCGCTCTCGTTACCCAGGCTCGAGTGCAATGGCGCCATCTCGGCTCACTGCAACCTCCGCCTCCTGGGTTCAGGCAATTCTCCTGCCTCAGCCTCCTGAGTAGCTGGGATTACAGGCACGCGCCACCATGCCCAGCTAATTTTTTGTATTTTTAGTAGAGATGGGGTTTCACCATGTTGACCAGGATGGTCTCGATCTCTTGACCTCGTGATCCACCTGCCTCGGCCTCTCAAAGTGCTGGGTGTGATTTCTTTATGTGAAGAATAATGTGCTGAGTTGTACTCCTTTGAGTATAAGCTAAATTTAATTATTCTCACTTTAAAATTCATGAGTAGACCTTATCATTTTATGTCTCCAAAGTTTGGAAGAGGGCTTTATGTTGGCTCACTTTTATTTCACATTTTTACGTTTATAGTTCCCATTTCCATGAATCATGGATGTTGTTTTTAATCATGTTCTCATTAATATAGTAGACTAAGGATCAGTAACAGATTGGTTTTTTCTTTTTCTTGGCTCTTTGTGGCCTCTGCTAGGCTGGGTCACTGGGAAGATTTAGAAATCACTTATAGAGAACAATAATCTCTCCTATACTCATAGCTCTTTCTTAGAGATTAAAAAGATTCACCAGGTGAGGCCTCAGAAGAAATTATTTATTTCTTCAGCAAACATTTCCTGGCTTACAGATGAGAAAATCAAGGTACAGACACATCAGGTCACTTGCCTGTGGTCACAACTCATAACTACTAAATCCATCATCACTGATCTTAGAGCCTATGGACATTATGCTTTACTTTTAAGAAAGACAACTAATTCTTCAAGGAACTATAAGTAACTTTACTTATAGTTTTATACTTCTAGGTATATGGTGGGAGGATAGGTAGGACTAGAGGCAAGAGAACAGGATAGTGCAGGAAATAAGGTGGGAGCTACAGGTAGGGTCTAGGTTATGAAGTTTTTATTTTACCTACAGATAGCAAGTCTGTACAAAATGGACCGAAGTCATTAGACTAAAGATAGGGAGATCATTTAAGAGCAGTAATTTATGTTAGAGGTAATAAAAATCTAAAATTAGTGACAAGGAGAATGAAGGGTTGGATTCAAGTGACCTTTTGGAGTGAAATTATCAGACCTTGGTGAGTAATTGAATTTGAGGCTGGAGGGAGAAGGAAAAGCTTACCAAGAAAGAGGACAGGAGAGAAAGAAGCCAGTTGGAGAAAATAAGATCATTGGCTTATCTGCCTGCTGGAATTAGAATGGCAAAATGTTGTTTAAAGAAGAAATTATTTCTTCTCTTTGCCTCCCAGTTTATTCATGGTGCTCCCAAAAATATCAGCTCTATTAGGAGAGCCATGCTTTGGAAGCATTAAGAAGTCAGCTGCCCTCTGGAACCCACCATGCATATTTATGTATAAGTTTACTAATGTTATGAATCCTGACTTTGATATGAGCTCTTGTAGCTTAAGTAACATACTTTCTGTTTACTCTATAATTCCCAACAGCCTTGTTCAGTATTAATTCTCCAAACCGTAGCACTCTGTGTTGTTGAAAGTATTCTGTATTCAGTATTCTGGTACATCTAATACCCTGTGTGAATCATGGCAGAGACAGATGGGCAGTCATGTACTGTTGCCAGCAAATAAGACCTACCATCTGTTGGTGTTGTCACACATTCAAATTCTTACTTTATCTCACTCACTAGTACATGCAGAAAATAATAAAGAGAAGGAAAAAATATCTTATTAGATCAAGCTTACTGATTTATTTGGAATAAAAGTAAGGTAACCAGGATATTTTATGATATACAGGGTATGAATGACAGTCTTAAGTATATAAATTTAGAGAGGCATCAAAGAAAAGTAAAACATTGGAAAGAGGTCCCAAACAATTGGAAATGGAGCAGGTATATAAAAAGGGAGGTAGAGCCGGGCACAGTGGCTCACGCCTGTAATTCCAGCACTTTGGGAGGCCGAGGCGGGTGGATCACGAGGTCAAGAGATCGAGACCATCCTGGTCAACTTGTGAAACCCCGTCTCTACTAAAAATACAAAACATTAGCTGGGCATGGTGGCACATACCTGTAATCCCAGCTACTCAGGAGGCTGAGGCAGGAGAATTGCCTGAACCCAGGAGGCAGAGGTTGCGGTGAGCCGAGATGGCGCCATTGCACTCCAGCCTGGGTAACAAGAGCGAAACCCTGTCTCAAAAAAAAACGGAAGTAGAATTTCTTGAAAAATTTGCTTCATAGGGTCCAAGTAAAGAGAATTTCAGGTAATGAACATTCAAAACATATCCATTTCCTTTGACCCTTTACTTCCACATCTGGGGCTCTAGCTTAAGGAAACACTTTTGAATACAGAAGAAAATAGTAGTCATCAAGCTCTTTAGCCTAACATTACTTATTATTATGAAGAATTAAAAGCAACCAAAATATCTAATTGAGGAATGGTTAAATTACTGGATTGTCATTCAATGAGATATTATGCACATATTAAAAATGATTATAACTAGTTTCGGCCAGGTGTGGTGGTTCATGCCTGTAGTCCCAGCACTTTGAGAAACTGAGGTGGGTGGATCACTTGAGGTCAGGAGGTTGAGACCAGTCTGGGCAACATAGTGAAACCCCGTCTCTACTAAAAATACAAAATTAGCCGGGCATAGTGGCTCTTGCCTGTAGTCCCAGCTATTTAGGAGACTGAGGCAGGAGAATACTTGAACCCAGGAGGCGGATGTTGCAGTAAGCCGAGATCACTCCATTGCACTCCAGCTTGGGCAACAAGAGTGAAACTCCATCTCAAATAAAAAATAAGATTATAACTAGTTTCATAACTAAAGAAAGGACACTTGGAATTAATGGAATTTAGAAAACGATTCAAGCAGCATTGTTTGACTCTTCAGTTATTAAAGGAGGCTTTTTAGGTGAGAGTTCTCTGTGTGCACAAAAATAAATTCCAGTTGAATAAAAAGTAAAACTTGAAATCATAAAAGGCCTTGAAAGACAAGACCCAGGTTATCATTTTTATGAATACAGAATGAGGAAGACATAGAGTGAATAGTAGAAACCATAAATATTTTTTATTTAATAGTAACACCTTTATTTTTCATTTTTTAAAATACTTTATTAGAGCAGTTTAAGATTCACGGCAAAATTGAGAAGGCACAGAGGTTTCCTCCTTACAATGATGAAACTATATGAATATGTCATTACCACCCATAGTTTACATTAGGGTTCACTCTTGGTGTTGTAGGAAATCATGAATACTAATAGATTTGACTACCTAAATTTTACATATCAAAAACTAAAAGCAAAGTAAAATTAAAAGGGAAACAAACTGGAATACATTTATGTCATGTATTACAAAGGACCAATGCTGATATTTGAAGTGATCTTACTGATCAGTAAGAAAAAGATGAATACTTTGGGAGAAAAAAAGTTAGGTCATCAGTAGGAAACTCACAGAAGGACCAAAAAATGGTCAAAAGTATGGGGAAAGTTCAGCTTTACAAATGTAAGTCACATTGCAGATTTGAATAAAATGAGCTTGCCCAAGGTTATGGAAAGGTCTGATTTTAGAGTGCAGTTTGATGATATGTATCAAAATCGTTTAAACTTTGTGTAATAATAGGATTTACTATCCTCTCTGTGAGGCATAATGTTAAACATTGGACAAAGATTAGCTCATTTAATCCTCCAAATTACCCTTTTGTGGAAATGTGGTTATTTCCATTTTAATGATGAGAAAATCGGAATGTTGGGGAAATAATGCCAACTTTCCCAAGGTTATTTAGCTAGTTAGAGATAGAGACCAGACCTCAAACCCATAATATGTCTCAAGAACCCAATCCCTTAACAAGTATGCTCATCTAAGAATTTCTTCCCCTAAAATATTTAGGTGTGCGTGTCCAAATATCTTTTTTATTATTATTATTTTTGAGACAGAGTCTTGTTCTGTTGCCCAGGCTGGAGTGCAGTGGTGCAATCTCAGCTCACTGCAGCCTCTTCCCCCTGGCTTCCAGTGATTCTCCTGCCTCAGCCTCCTGGGTATCTGGGATTACAGCTGTACGTCACCACGCCCGGCTAATTTTTGTATTTTTAGTAGAGATGGGTTTCGCCATGTTGGCCAGGCTCGTCTGGAACTCCTAACCTCACGTGATCCGCCCGTCTCTGCCTCCCAGTGCTGGGATTACAGGCATGAGCCACTGCACCCGGCCTGTCCAAGTATCTTTATTATATTATTTATGAGCAGAAACTTTTAAAACAATTAAATGCCCAACAATTTATTCCATAGAATACAGTGTAGCTATTAAAAATCATATTGAGATAGAAAATACTCATGGGAAGATGTCTGTCACACTGTTAAGTGAAAGAGCAGATTTCAAAACCAGATTTATAGGCCGGGCGCGGTGGCTCAAGCCTGTAATCCCAGCACTTTGGGAGGCCAAGACAGGTGGATCACGAGATCGAGAGATCGAGACCATCCTGGTCAACATGGTGAAACCCCGTCTCTACTAAAAATACAAAAAAAATTAGCTGGGCATGGTAGTGCGTGCCTGTAATCCCAGCTACTCAGGAGGCTGAGGCAGGAGAATTGCCTGAACCCAGGAGGCGGCAGCCGAGATCACGCCATTGCACTCCAGCCTGGGTAACAAGAGCGAAACTCCGTCTCGAAAAAAAAAAAAACAAAAAAAAACCAGATTTATAATAAAAGTATAGTTTTTAAAAATACGTGTACATGAAAAGACTAAAAGGACATATATCAGATGGTTGAGAATGGTTTTGTATGTGTGTGTATGTATGTTTGGGGAGCAGTATTTTAGGCTTCTGTTTTGCTTTGAGTTTTCCAGTTTTCCTGCTTTAAACATATTTTTTATAATTAACATAATACTTATAAAAGAAAGTAGGAATTTCTTCCAGAAGGATACCTTTCGGATCCCAACTCCTGACTGTAAGAAATAGATTCTCAGTATGTAAATTGTATTCCTAAGCCTGGTGTGTCCCACTTTAATTTATTGTCTCCCTTTAACAGATGACATAATTTGGGAGTGATTACTTATGAGAAAGTATCTTTGTCATCTAAAAGAAATTTACTGTGCACCTCTTATTTTCCCTTGTGTATGCAGTAACATATACATGTACATTTTGTCTTGCACATGATTTCAAGACAACTTCATCATATGTTTATAACTTGTCTATATGTTGCAAATGCCTTAATTTCTACATTAAATTTCCATTTTAATGTACTTGTGTATCGCTTTCACACTATTTTTCTGACCAGTGTAATGGATAAACTGATGGAATAGAAGGGTATGGTGCTCCCACACTGATCAGGATCCCTATTAGACTAGCTTTCATTACCAACTCGCCTGTAATTTGAGGATATTAAAATGAAACTCACCGATTAATAATATGGGGTTCCTATATTAATCAACACAAGTACTTGGAACCTTGCCATAACAATTCAGAGGAAGGTCTAGGAATTTTAACAAGGATTCCTAAATCAGGCATCCAGCCCTTGAGGGTGGGTCAACTGCTGCCTGCTTCACTGTCACCCTGCATTCCCTGGCACTTTGCTGGGCTCCCTTATTCTTTCCCATGGTGAAGACTCCAGGGAGCTAAAGTTTCAATTGTTTAACCTGGTGTTTCCCATTCTCTTTAGATTCTTGTCGTGCTTGTTCCAGAGAAACTGACTAGTTCGAAAAATGAACTGGTGTTTTTGTTTTTTATTACGATAGAAATTGAGAAGTAAACCAATTATTACTTTTAGTTTGCAGAACATTCAGCTTCAAGGTTTAATACAGGATGAACATCATGTATCAAGTGGGACTCCCCTGCACCTCCACTGATGATTATTGCCATATTGTGTCTATGAACAGGTTCCTGGTATAAATTTACCCGTCAATCAACTGACTTATTTCTTCGCTGCAGTTCTCGTCAGTGGTGTTGTACATGAAATTGGACATGGGATAGCAGCTATTAGGTAATCATATTTACCTTTTTCTTTGTGCTACTTGCAAAAAAAGCTTTTCATTTAGGAGGGTTTATTACTAAAATCTGCTACATTTGATACTTCACTATTTTTATTTCCGTGGCTATTGCCCAGTGTATAGCCCTCATTTGTTACTTTGAGGAAGCTTCTCTTTTATAGAGAAAATTAATATCTTGGTGAATATGCTCAGTTAACCATGGGCATATCTGTAATCTGAGTCTTTCTATCCTTTGCCTCTGCCAGTGTGATTATCCTTATGATGACTCACAGTTTTTACCCAATCCTGAAAGCCAATCTTTCTATTCATCATTGGGTCAGAATGATAACCACTCTACTCAAAACCCACACCGTAGAACTTTATTTGACTTAGCAGCTGAAATAATTTCCTGCTTCTGCTTATGTCCTCTGCTGGCTACTGAAAACTGAAAAGCACTGGGTTTAACAAATACCATAGTCTATCTAGAAACCCAAGTGGAAGATAAGAAGATGAGACCTGGGACTAGCTTTGAGTATCATGCCCTGTTCTTGGTCTTGACTAACCAAATGTATCATTGTAACTATACCTAAGCATTTAAAAGCCTATAAAACATATAAAATCATGATGGGAGAGGGCCATGTCACAACTCCCCTGCTACCTCCAGTGATAATTACTGCCATAATTAGTAAGCATGCTGATAGGAATGTGTTTTATCATTTCGGTGTGTGCACCAGAGAAAAGGTTAAAAACCTCTGTTTTGGAAGAGAAGATGTAATCATTTCTTATTACTTTCCAGTTGCTTATGAACAAGAGTCTATTGACACTAAATTCTCATCTTATCAGAGCATATACTGTTACACATGCATCCACAATAGTGGTTTAAGGTGGCAGCTGCTGGGTTTTTTTTGTCTTTTTAAACCTCCTTCACTTTTGCTTCCATGGTTTTAGCTTTGCAGCCTTTAGGATTTTACCTGTGGACACATCATTAATTACAGCTTAATAATTTACAGTATATTTGTAAAATAACTTGGGTAATTTTTTTTCAATGCCAACTGCCAAGAGAAAAATGAACTGGACAGTTGTCTTACATATTTAGTATTAAGCAACAGCATATATTTGAGTGATGCTTTTTTCTAGGGGGGCTGTTTAGTTTTATGAGACTTAAATGTAATATTAACTTTTGGAAAATTAAGTGAGAAAAAATGTTTCTCTCTTTTTTTAATATGGAGATCAAAACCTGAAAAAACAGGTTCTCTTAAGGACAATCTGAGCATTATGCATGTTTAAACACACTTATTTAACATTAGCTCAATAGGAATACACTTAGATAAATCTTCACCATTATTTATAATTGCCAAGACAATATAAGTTACTAGGTAATTTACTTGAATTATATAGTCTCCTGTGTCTATCTCTGAAAATAGTTCAGAGTAAACCATAAAAATGTTTTTCATTTAGTTTCTCATAGAAGCCATTTCTGTATATATGTGACTGATTTCAATTATTTGCTCAACACATTGGTTTCTAAAAATTTTGAAGTCTATTTCAGTATGCCCTATTTTACAAAATTCAGTTTCACAGGTAACCAAATCTGTACATTATTATAAAATTAAGCTTATAGGCCAGGTGCGGTGGCTCACGCCTTGTAATCCCAGCACTTTGGGAGGCCGAGGCTGGCGGATCATGAGGTCAGGAGATTGAAACCATCCTGGAAAATGTAGTGAACCCCCATCTCCACTAAAAATACAAAAATTAGCTGGGTGGCGCATGCCTGTAATCCCAGCTACTTGGGTGGCTGAGGCAGGAGAATCCCTTGAACCAGGGAGTCAGAGGTTGCATTGAGTCGAGATCACGCCACTGCAATCCAGCCTGGTGACAGAGCGAGACTCTGTCTCAAAAAAAAAGATCATATATAGTATAGATACAATTTTTTTGGCTGTTCAGAGAGACTTTTTGTTTCTTAAGCAAGAATTCTAATTACAGTGAAAAGTTTTAAGATTATGTACGCTATTAATTTGACAAATACAATAGTATTAGTAAACTCCTTTTTCTTATGTGGTTTCTTAGGGAACAAGTTCGATTTAATGGCTTTGGGATTTTTCTCTTCATTATTTATCCTGGAGCATTTGTTGATTTGTTCACCACTCATTTGCAACTTATATCGCCAGTCCAGCAGCTAAGGATATTTTGTGCAGGTAACAGACTTAATTTTATTTTAATATATATCTGTGGTTTGGGTTTTGATTTTCTATGGTTAAATTTTTGGAAAATATGTCACAAATAGCAATATCTTATCTTTTGGTTAATAACTTCAGTTTATAAGGCCCCTCAAGAGAAGAAGGGTAAAATAATTTACATTCCAGTTTCTTCCATAAAACCAACTAAAAACAACATAAATGATTTCTTTAAAAATTTAAAAACAAAGGAAAACTTTGTTTTATCCACAACATGAAATCGCAAACTATAATGAATGTCAACTCAGCTGAAATTAGAATGAAATTTGCATCAAATCAAGGGAGAACATGAAGAATTAACTAACAGATAAATCAAAAGTATCCAGGAATGGAGACGAAGTGTTAAGAAAGGATGGTTAGTGAACTCTGGCACTGTCAAAGTTCAGTCAGAGAAACAGAATCCCTTGGAGATATATAACTATGTAGGGAAGAAATTCTGGGAACCACAGTTCCATCTGCGTGAAATTGACATAAGACATCCATCACACCCTTCTGTCACTTTTAACGGAATAACAGGCTTAAGCAAGTGTGGAGTTAGAATTCTCAAACTAATAAATAAAAATTGAAGGTGGAAAAAACAAAAACAGGAAATAGAAATACTAATTTCCTCAACTTCTTAGTGGAGAGAACATCTGCCTGAATTTGATAAATCAAGAAATAGAGGCTTGAGTATATCACTTAAGATTATAAATGTAAATACTATAAGATCTAAAAACACAAGCTTTTTAGTTATCACAGTGAAAGCATGAAACACACACCAAAGAAAACAGACACTATATCAAAATAGAAACCATGGTTTTGGTAAGACCAAAACACATTTATTTTTGTCAATAAACATAAATGAAATAAGCTCACCTGCTGAAAGAAAGATACCCTTAGTTTGTATTTAAAATATGTCCCAAATGTGTGATGTACAAAAGAAATCCGTCTAACTAATTACTCAAAAATATGGAAAGTAAAATGAGTAGAACATAACATGCAAATGGGAACAGAAAATAAAACCAAAAGCATTCTGTCAGACATTAGGGGCCATTTAACAATAATAAGGATTATAAGCCACAATGAAAACGTAACAGTTGTGAATCTTACCGTATCAAGTAACAAATCATCAAAGCAAAACTAAAAAGGGAAAAGTACAAGAAGAAACAGAAAGGTAATTTAAAAAACTCACCTTTTTACACATGGCAGATAAGTATAAAAAGGTCAGGCTAAGGCAAAAATAGGTATGTTAAATTCTATGCCATGAACACAGAAGACAATCAATATCTTTTCAAGTGCCCATGGGAGTTAAAAGAAAGCTTCAATAAATTCCCAAGAGAAGACTAGCAGCCTAAGTAAAAACTACCTGAAATTTCAAAATTTATATTAATCGCACCTTGGATTAATTTAATTCAAACTTGTGATTTCAGTGTATCTAAAAATGATGATGATGAAATCATTGTACTGAGATAATGTTTAAAGTTTTGCTAAAAGAAAAATGCACTGACTTAGGCAGTTATGCTATTAGAAATGGTAATAGATCAGTTAAGCATTCAACTTAAGTGAGAAAACTGTAAAATAATTAAGAAATGATGTAATTAGTAAGGATATAGGCAGAAATAATAAATTAGAAAAAACAAAACTAGATCTGCTAAATTGAAGAGTTCTTAAAAAAAGATTAGTTGAACAATGAAAAGAAGCATCTAAAGACAATTAGCTATCAGACTGGGGAATGACGATTGATAACAGAGAAAATAAAAACAATTATAAGTGTTCTTTACTCATCTCTGCAAAAAAGTTTCAAAAACCTGGATAAATCTAAGAAAATAAAAATAGCTGCAATTAACTCGAGAGGCAATCAAAAAAATCTAAATAGACAAATAATTACAACAGGAGAAATTAAGAAAGTTGATGAAGAATGCCCTTTCTTTTTATTTTGAGACTGAGTCTGACTGTGTCACCCAGGCTGGAGTACTGTGATCTTGGCTCACTGCAACCTCTGCCTTCTGGGTTCAAGTGATTCTCTTGCCTCAGCCACCTTAGTAGCTAGGATTACAGGCACTTGCCACCATGCCTGCTAATTTTTGTATTTTTAGTAGAGACAGGGTTTCGCCACTCTGGCCAGACTGGTCTCAAACTCCTGACCTCAAATGATCCTCCTGCCTTGGCTTCCCAAAGTGCTGGGATTACAGGCATGGGATTATTGCACCTAGCTAAGAATGCCCTTTCCTATGTGGAATTCCTTCATACCTTGAATGAAAAACTTTTCTTTTAAATTCCAGTTTAGTATAAACTTTCCAGATCACATAGAGAAGAAAACTAAGATTTTTTTCTTAAAGCCAAGTACAACAGTGATAAAACATCTGGTGAATACAACATCTGGTGAAGCACAAAACAACCTAACAGACTCATGGCCTATTAAGAATACAAGAGAGGTTGTAGATTAGGAAATCATTTGAATGTGATAAATATTTGCCATAGGGAAAAATTTATCTCAGAAGATATTGAGACAGTATTTAACAAAATTCAACATCCATTAATACTTTTAAAAAATCCTTAGTACAAGTAGGAATAGCTGCATATGTAATAATGGCATAACACTTAGCATTCCTATTAAAGGACAAGACAAGCAATTTTACTATCTACTATTACTGATATTAAATGTCATGTTAGTACAATTAAAGAAGAGAAAAAAGCATAAATATTAGGAGTAGGCTTTTTTTTGGCAGATACTGTCATATGGGATGGAAAGGAGGGGAAGACATGAAAATCAACTGAAATGAAATACATTAAAAAATCAGTAAAGAACCTGTTTACGAAGTATTTGAACAACAATAGCTGGACGGGGCCACAGGGTGACGCACCTGAGCACTTTGGCATGTGCGTGGGTGCGTGGGTACGTGGGCATGTACGTGAGTACGTGGGCACGTGCACGTGCTTTCACGGAAGCGCACTGTATGCACAGGCGCATGCGCGTGGCTATCCCAGAAGCACCTGGGCCTTCCGCCTCAACGCTCGCTCGTGCCTTCTTCAGACTGGCTCCTTCCTCAGACTCGCGGGTTTTTCTCAGACTCGCGCCTTCCTCAGACTCCTGCTTTCCTCAGACTCGCGCCTTTCTCGGCAGCTCGCGCAGCTTTTCTCAGCAGTTGGCACCTCCTCGGCAGCTCGTGCCACCTTTCTCGGCAGTTTGCGCCTCACTCCCTTCAGCATTCTGTTTCCCACGGTCTTCTAGTTGACTACAAACTGCGGAGGAGCCAGTAGCTAAGGCTGCTACCTAACTCTCAACCATGGCCTCAAACGAAGATTTCTGCATCCCAGAAGACTCGGACATCCCGGTAGATCTCAAGGACATCATTGTGGAGCCCCTTTCTCTGGAGGACATTCCGATGGAGAGCATTGAGTACGAGGATATCACTGGCAGTTGGGTCCACGGTGGCCACAACCACCCGCCTCTGCTCGCGATGCAGCCGCTCTTCGGGAACACTGGCTATGGCAACCACGACCAGGAAATGATCATGGTGCAGACACAAGAGGAAGTGGTGAGCTACCGCAGTTCAGGCAGCGGGCCAGGCGACGACTCCAAGGACCAGTTGGTCATGCCGGCTAGCAGTGAAGATGGGCACTTCCAGCAGACCCTGACCTCTCTGGCAACCTCGGCGGCATTGACATCAACCCAGAGCCTCAGCAGAAAGCGCAGCAGAAAGCCCAGCAACAGCAGTGCCAACAGCACTGAGGCCACGCCGCCAGGCAGCCCCCCCGACGAGAGCAGCAATAAGTGGGAGCAGAAGCAAGTGCAGATCAAAACGCTCGGGGGTGAGTTTTCCCTGAATATGTGGTCCGCTAATGATAACGATGACAAAGGGAGGGTGGGGGAAGGCCGGCCCGATAACTCACCGGATTATTCCGAGTACTTGAAAGGGAAGAAACTTCCTCCCGAGGGATTACCAGGAATCGATCTCTCAGATCCCAAACAGCTGGCAGAATTTACTAAAATGAAGCCCAAAAGGTCCAAAGACGACCCCCCCAGAACAGTCCCTTGCGCTCATATTGGCTGCGGAAAGATGTTCAGGGATTATGGCGCCATGAGAAAACATCTCCACATCCACGGGCCCAGAGTCCACGTATGTGCAGAATGTGGCAAAGCTTTTATTGAGAGCTCAAAGCTGAAACGACATCAGCTGGTTCACACGGGCGAGAAACCCTTTCAGTGCACATTCGAAGGTTGCGGGAAACGCTTTTCCCTTGATTTCAATTTGCGCACACATGTGCGCATCCACACCGGCGACAAGCCCTTCGTGTGCCCTTTCGATATTTGCAATAGGAAATTCGCCCAGTCAACCAACCTGAAGACGCATATGTTAACACATGTGAAGAACAAAAGCAGCCAGTGAAAAAGAGCCCTCTCAGACTTGGGAGTCATCTTCCAGGCTTCCAGGACTGTGGTAGGGAATAAATATGCCTCTCAAAAAGTTTTATATGTTTTTCTAATAGTTTTTAAAAAACGAATGCTACACGTCAAGGTTTGTGTTTTCTTAGAGTAGTAAAAATGCAACTTAAAAGTTTTAAAAAAAAAAGTAAACTAAAAATGCAACTTAAAAGTTTAAAAAAAAAAGTAAACTTTGCCATAAGATAATATTGCCGGTCGGGCTCAGTGGCTCACGCCTGTAATCCCAGCACTTTGGGAGGCCGAGGCGGGTGGATCACGAGGTCAAAAGATCGAGACCATCCTGGTCAACAAGGTGAAACCCCGTCTCTACTAAAAATACAAAAATTAGCTGGGTGTGGTGGTGCGCACCTGTAATCCCAGTTACTCGGGAGGCTGAGGCAGGAGAATTGCTTGAACCCAGAAGGCGGAGGTTGCGGTGAGCCGAGATCTCGCCATTGCCCTCCAGTCTGGGTAACAAGAGTGAAACTCCGTCTCAAAAAAAAAAAAAGATAATATTGCTAAGATGCCGTAGCTTGTTCTGTAACAGTGTTTTTGTAAAGTTTGGTCCCAACAGGAGAAAAATTTGTGGACTTCACATCAAGAGACACTTCTTACAAACTGTTTAAAATGGGACTTTTCACATTCTTAGAAATAGGAAGTTCATTTATTGTTTACAATGTTTTAAAAATTTTTTTTTAATTTAAAATGTTCATGTTTATACTTTTAGGAATATGCTTAATGAGTCTGGTTTTTCTGGAGGTTGATAACTTTGGGAAAGATTTACATTAAAGGAGTGAACAATTATATGTATACACGAAATATTTTCCTGCTTAAAAAAGTTATATAGGTGTCGCTGGTTTTAATTTTGGTTGTATTCTTGGATGTTAACATTTTGCATTTTAGCTGTATTGGGTTATGTAGTATTGATATTAAGTGATTTAGTAGTACTACTTTAAATCTATTTTAGTCATTTTATTTTCCCCCAAATAGTACCAGATGTTGTTGTCTGCCTCTTCAATTAAAGTAGTGCCTAGTTGTAGAATATATTGTTTGTATATCCTGTCTAATAGAAAGAGCAAAATAAAATACCTTTTCTAAAGAAGGAAAAAAGTAGTTTGCCTGTATCGATATAGAAGCTAGAACTAAAGAAAAGGGGGAGGGTGCTACTGGTGGGTGGAGGGAGATCAGGAATTGCACTAAACATCCTATAATGCACAGACAGCCCCACAAAGTAAATAATTATTTGGCCAAAATGCCAATAGTGCCAGGTGCAGGGGCTCACGCCTGTAATCTCAGCACTTTGGGACGCTGAGGTAGGTGGATCGCTCGAGCTCAGGAGTTGGACATCAGCCTGGGCAACATGCCAAAACCCCATCTTTACCAAAAATATAAAAACTAGCTGGGTGTGGGGTACACACCTGTGGTCCTAGCTACTCAGGAATCTGAGGTGGGAGGATCACTGGAGCTGGGGAAGTCGAGACTGCAGTGAGCCGTAATTGAGCCACTGTACTCCAGCCTGAGTGACAGCAAGACCTTGTCTCAAAAAAAAAAAAAAAAAAAGGGCAGGGGATGCCAGCCACAGGGCTCCCGCCTGTAATCCCAGCACTGAGAGGCCGAGGTGGGTGGATCACTTGAGGTCAGGTATTCAAGACCAGCCTGTCCAACATAATGAAACCACTCCCTACTACTGAAAATTAGCCAGAGATGGTGGCATAGCACCTGTATTCCCAGCTACTTGGGAGGCTGAGGCAGGAGAATCACTTAAACCTGGGAGGCGGAGGTTGCAGTGAGCTAAGATAATGCCACTGTACACCAGCCTGGGTGACAGAGTGAGACTCCGTCTCAAAAAAAAAAAAAAATGCCAATAGGGTCCCTGTTAAGAAACCTTGCTGTAAAAAAAGTACAAGTTTTTAACAAAGATTCCAGAGGTATGCAGTACTTATAAACAAATCATTAATGGACAAGAGGTTGTTTACATGAAGGAAATGTGTGTGCTCCACCACCCTCATTTCCACTTAACCAGCATGGATAAATCCAGAATCAGAGGGGTGATCTGGTACTAGCTACATGCCTGACAACAGATAAGAGACTACACAGGGAGTCAAGGAATCAGTGTTGCTGAGTATCTCGGCTTTTATTCATTTGTTCATGTCTTGTTTCTGTGGCTAGCAACTGGGCTGGGGTTGGGTGGGTGGGGGGAATTCATAGTGGTATCCTAAATAAGTTTCCCCAGAGTAAATTCCTGTGCATCAAAGGATTAGGTTTTTTGTTTGTTTTAATTTTGTTAATGAAGCTATGAAAGTTGTCACCAGGCTGGACAGGCTGGAGTGTAGTGGCACGATCTGGGCCCACTGCAACCTTCGCCTCCTGGGTTCAAGCAATTCCCCTGCCTCAGCCTCCTGAGTAGCTGGAAGTACAGGCACATGCCCCCATGCCCAGCTAATTTTTTGTATTTTAGTAGAGATGAGGTTTCACCATGTTGGCCAGGATGGTCTCAATCTGACCTCATGATCCACCCGCCTTGGCCTCCCGAAGTGCTTGGGATTACAGGTGTGAGCCACTGCGCCCGGCCAAATATCTTCTATAATCCTTAAGTGGGAAACGCTTAATACAAGGAAATATTTGATCACACAAAAATTTAAAGTATCTAAGTCAGGTGCAGTGGCTCACGCCTATAATCCCAGCACTTTGGGAGGCTGACGCCGGTGGATCACTAGGTCAACAGATCGAGACCATCCTGGTCAACAAGATGAAACCCCATCTCTACTAAAAATGCAAAAATTAGCTGGGCATGGCAGTGTGCGCCTGTAGTCCCAGCTACTCGGGAGGCTGAGGCAGGAGAATTGCTTGAACCCAGGAGGCGGAGGTTGCGGTGAGCCGAGGTCGCGCCATTGCACTCCAGTCTGGGTAACAAGAGCGAAACTCCGTCTCAAAAAAAAAATAAAATAAAATTTAAAGTATCTATACAGGCAAAATGACAAACCACACCAAACAACAAACCGGGAAGATATAATTATAATACTTGTTACGAAGGACCAAATTCCTCAATGTATGGATTATAAATAATACCATACTTATTTACAAATTAGTAAATAAGACAATCAAAAAATAAGCAAAGATGTAAACAGGCAATGGAGAGGAATAAGTAGCTCTCAAGAAAATGGGCTTTCATTTTTCACCCAGAAGACTGGCAAAGAGTAAAATTATAATAGCATCCAGTGTCATTCAGAGAGTGGAAAAATGTCAATTATGAAAGTATAAATTAATGCAAACTCATTGGAGGTCAACTTTAACATACATATTTTTGACCCAACATTTCCATTTCTAGGTAATTTTTCATACCCTTGAGATGCATACTTAACTAGATGACTAACAATGTAAGCAAAGCTGTGTATTGCAGTATTATATGAAAAGGTTAAAACAACCTAAGTAATTAATGGTAAGAAACCTTATAAATAAATTGATACTTTAATAAAAATTGATTACTCTGTAGCAGTTATAATGGGATTGATATGAATAAACTGATATGAAAAAAGTCCAAAATATATAAATTAAAAGGCAAAATAGGGTGTGATGGCTCACACCTGTAATCCCAGAATTTTAGGAGGCTGAGGTGGGAGTTTAAGGCTGCCATGAGCTGTGATTGCAGCACTGCACTCCAACCTGGGCAACAGAGCAAGACTGTCTCTTTTTTTTTAAATCCGCAAAAAAGCAAAATATAGTATAATAATTTGATACCATTGGTGTTTTTAAATGATGTATCTGTATATAATAGAAAAGATCATTTACCTAATAAGTTCTAGACCATACTTTGTCTGGGTATTTCTAGAAGTTAACAATTTACAACACTTCAAAAATTTAAAGCTGGGCGTAGTGGCTCATACCTGTAATCCCAGCACTTTGGGAGGCCAAAGCAGGCAGATCACAAGGTCAAGAGATTGAGACCATCCTGGCCAACATGGTGAAACCCCATCTCTACTAAAAATACAAAAATTAGCTGGGTGTGGTGATGCTCACCTGTCATCCCAGCTACTCGGGAAGCTGAGGCAGGAGAATCACTTGAACCCAGAAGGCGGAAGTTGCAGTGAGCCGAGATCGTGCCACTGCACTCCAGCCTGGTTACAGAACAAGACTTCATCTCAAAAAAAAAAAAAAAAAAATTAAAAAGGAACATTTTACAGTATGTATACGTTACATGGAACATGTGTTATCTAGGTATCTGGCTGCTCTAATAGCTAAAAATAAGTGGCATAAACTCTCAAAACATTCCAAATGTAAGTATTTCAGTGCTGATGGAATAACTCTGTGATTTGGGGACACAGGCTCTGTCTTGTTAGCTCTGCTATTCCTAACATGCAGCTTCTGTGTCATGGACTTAAATCCAGCTCCATCTCAGCTGTATTACAGCCCACAGGACAGGGTTGTCTTTATCACATCCTGGTGCTAGTAGTGCCCATACCCTGCCCCGTAAGAAAAACTGCAGTAGAAAAAAGAAAGACTAGGTATGGGGGAAGGAGTTACTAGTGGTGTGTGAAGTGAATGTTTAACATCTGGCTCTGGAGGACTAGGATGGGGAGCTCTGATGATAGCATTTGCCGGTTTTTGTGGTGTTAAGTAGTCCCACTATGGTCAGTTTCAAGCTGCAAACCTATACTTCCTGAAGGAGGAATTAGGAAGAAATGCACAGTTAGCTCTGGCAAGCTGGTAAGAGCAGACTTCAGCAAACCACAGAGTTCATATAGCCATCTCTGCCATAGGTTAGGATATAAGATGCTAAGGGGAAAAAAAGAGTTTAAAAAATATAAAACCGGGCCAGGTGCGGTGGCTAACGCCTGTAATCCCAGCACTTTGGGAGGCCAAGGCAGGTGGATCACCTGAGGTCAGGAGTTCGAGACCAGCCTGGCCAACATGGAGAAACCCTGTCTCATTAATAAAATATATATATGCATGTGTGTGTGTGTGTGTGTGTGTGTATGTATATAAAACCGGCTGATGCGATGGCTCACCCCTGTAATCTCAGCACTTTAGAAGGTGGAGGCAAGAGGATGTCTTGAGCAAAACAGTGAAACACCCGTCTCTCCAAAAAAAAAAAAAAAAAACTCCCAAGCATGGTGGCACACACCTGTAGTCCCAGCTACTTAGAACGCTGAGGCAGGAGAATTGTGTGAGCCCAGGAGGTGGAGGTTGCAGTGAGCTGAGATCACACCATTGCACACCATCATGGGCAACAGAGTGAGACTGTCTCAATAATAAAAATTTAAATTAAAAAACATTTAAAAACTATAAAAGTGTCTTGAAAAAAGTTATTAGAAAACTTGCTGATTTGTACTCTTGAATAAATTATTACACATGTATACTCATGCATGCTGGTGTAGGCAGAGAAAATCTGAGTAATAAATGGAAAATGGTAACAGTATGTTTACTGTGAGTCATGGGGCTGGTGGTTGAGAAATGGTATTTAGGAAAGATAACTTTTACTTTTTATTACGTCTATATCATTTGGAATTTTTATAGTCAGCTTGTATTTTTTAGTAATTTTTTAAAAGCCAATTAAATACTTTTAAATTAATTTCATATTAGGGTTAAAATGTACTGAGACTTCTTTTTTCTTAAAATTGGTGCCTAATGTACAAAACTAAGACTAAAGGAAGCTATATATCCCCACCAAGGGTCCACACACCTCTTTCCTTTTTTTTGAGATGGAATTTCACTCTTGTTGCCCAGTCTGGAGCGTGATCTCGGCTCACTGCAACATCCACCTCCCAGGTGCAAGCAGTTCTCCTGCCTCAGCCTCCCCAATAGCTGGGATTACAGGCATGTGTCACCAACCCAGCTAATTTTATATTTTTAGTAGAAATGGGGTTTCTCCATTGTTGGTCAGGCTGGGCTCAAACTCCCAACCTCAAGTGATCCACCCACCTTGGCCTCCCAAAGTGCTGGGATTACAGGCATGAACCACCACACCCAGCCCCACCTATTTCAGAGCTTATTAACTGATATAGAACTAACTAGTCCTGCTATTCCAAACATCATGTAGCCCATCAACCTCTCATTCCCAATTGTGAGTTGTCAGCCTAGTAGACAACTAAACAGCTCTGCCCTGCTTTCTTTCCCAAGCAAGAAGGCAAGGTTAGGGGTGGGAAGAAGATGCTTATCTTGCCTTGAAGTCAAGATGGACAAATTCAAAGATTTGGACTTGTATGTAATAAGAAGAGTTTAGTATCTTATTCCCTGCTAAATGTTTGTTGAGCTGTAAGCTCACCCTGGTGTAGCCATCAAAGTGGAAGACAACATGGGAAACCTGTGTGTTCTCCAAAGTTTAGGGATGTACATAAATTATGTATTTAGAGGTAGAGAGAAATACATGTATGCCCTCTTCCTACTTTATTGGCTTTTTTTTTTTTTTGAGACGGAGTCTCACTCTGTTGCCCAGGCTAGAGTGCAATGACGTGATCTCAGCCCCCTGGGTTCAAGTGATTCTCCTGCCTCAGCCTCCCAAGTGGCCAGGGTTACAGGCACCCACCACTGTGCCTGGCTAATTTTTTGTTTTTAGTAGAGACGGGGTTTCACTATGTTGGCCAGGCTGGTCTCGAACTGACCTCATGATCCGCCCGTTTTGGCCTCCTAGGGTGCTGAGATTACAGGCGTGAGCCACCACGCCCAGCCCTACTTTGTTGGTTTTAAATTTAGGAATATAATTTCATTGCTTCTAAAATGTCTTCCCACTTCCATGTAAAAAGTCCAGGGCGTTACTTAAATTTTGTTTTTTTGTTTTGTTTGTTTGTTTGTTTGTTTTGTTTTTTTGAGATGGAATTTTTCTCTTGTTGCCCTGGCTGGAGTGCAATGGCATGATCTTGGCTTACTGTAACCTCCGCTTCCTGGGTTCAAGTGATTCTTCTGCCTCAGCCTCCCAAGTAGCTGGGTTTACAGGTGCTTGCCATCACACCCAGCTAATTTTTTTTTGTATTTTTAGTAGAGACAGGGTTTCACCACGTTGGCCAGGCTAGTCTCGAACTCCTGACCTCAGGTGATCCACCGCCTCGGCCTCCCAATAAATCTAGTTTTATAATGCTGCTTTTAAAGAGTTGCCTATATGTAGGCCAGGTGCAGTGACTCACGCTTGTAATCCTGTAGGGTCCAGCCCTACAGGATCCTGTGAGCCCCTCTCTACAGGTGTGGAGATGAGAAACTGTGGAAATAAAAGACGTAAGACACCAAGAAAGAGAAAACAGAGTTTGGGCATGGAGTCCGGCTGTGGCCCCGAGTGCCTGGACACTCTGACTTTTATTGAGTACAAAGCAGGGGGCAGGGTAAGTAGGGTGAGATAATGGTGGTCACTGATAGGGTCAGGTAAATCGCGTGTCTTGGGGATAGGGGGCCCAGGTCTTTCAAGTAGCCGAAGCAAGGAGAAAACTTAATGTATCAGCACTTTTCTCATACTTGTCAAGAAAGAACAAAGACATTAAGATTTAAGTAACTATGACTGATTCTTATCTTTTAAGAAAAAGAGTAACCAGGTGCAGAAGCGGAGCGTGAGAGTGGACATGGAACATGACCACTGAAGCACATCATCACATAGAGACAGTTAAGCCCCTGGATGTCAGCAGACATCCAACAGCTGTCGCACCTACCACAAGAGCATGGGGAAGCGGAGTTTTCTCCTAACACCTACCACAAGAGCATGGAGAAGCAGAGTTTTCTCCTAACTCCCCCGAGGAAGGAGACGTCTCGGACATTTTGGACGTCTCCTTCCCTAGCTGGCTAAGCAGCGGGCGCTTTCCCAGGTCTGGCGCTGCTACACAGCTGAGGGGCCTTCCAGCAGCCTTTATGCGGGAGTGACAGAGGGCTTAGAGCATCTTGCCTTAGGATCACTTTGTTCACGTTGTCACCTCAGTTCCGTGCTTCATAACCCAATAATCATTGGTAAGATTAAAAGATTATATTGAGTATATATATATATATATATATATATATATATATTTCTGTGATTACATATGAATATGTGATTATTCATGATTATATATATAGGAATAACTAGGTAACTATATCTAGTTCTTTTTTAGTGCTATATTCATATGGGAACAGGCTGAGGCTTCAGACCCTTGCCTCGGCACTTGTAGGGTCTCCCACAGGATCTACCCCCGGCATAATCCCAACACTTTGGGAGGCTGAGGCAGGCTGGTCACTTGAACTCAGGAGTTTGAGACCAGTCAAGGCATCATAGCAAGACTCTGTCTCTACTAAAAATACAAAAACTTAGCTAGGCATGGTGGTGCACGCCTGTGGTCTCAGCCTCTCAGGAAGCTGAGGTGGGAGGATGGCTTGAGCCTGGGGTTAGAGGTTGCAGTGAGCCAAGATCGCACCACTGCAGTCCAGCCTGGCGGGATGACAAAGTGAGAACCCTGTCTCAAAAATAAAATAAGTTGCATATGTAATAGTTTTTTACTTTTTTCTTTTCTTTCTTTTTTTTTTTTTTTTTTCTGAGACAGGTATCACCCTGTCACCCAGGCTGGAGGGCAGTGGTACAACCACAGCTCACTGTAGCTTTGACCTCCTGAGTTCAAGTGATCCTCCCACATCTCAGTCTCCCAAGTAGCTGGCACCACAGGCGTGCACCATCACACCCAGCTAATTTTTGCATTTTTTATAGAGAGGCAGGTCTTGCCATGTTGCCCAGTCTGGTCTCGAACTCCTGGGTTCAAGCAATCCACCTGCCTACACCTCCCAAAGTGCTGGCATTACAGGCATGAGCTACCACACCGGGCTATTTCTTTTTTAAAAAAACAATGAAATACACACTGATTTTGAAAAGAAAAAGCCACTAAACATATGTCTGAGATTTGGTGGCGAAAAAGAGAGATGAGATTGGATACTAAATGAAAGTGTTTAAATTTTGAATTTTGGTATAAAGCATTTTTAGAAGAGGGATTAAACAATACCTGCTGTCTGGTCCCAAGTGAAGAGTAGATTGCTTAAAAAAAAAATTATCAGCCGGGCGCAGTGGCTCATGCTTGTAATCCATAGCTCTCTGGGAGGCTGAGGAGGGCAGATCACAAGGTCGGGAGTTGGAGACCAGCCTGACCAACACAGTGAAACCCCATCTTTATTAAAAATATAAAAATTAGCTGGGGGTAATGGTGGGCGCCTATAATCCTAGCTACTCGGGAGGCTGAGGCATGAGAATTGCTTGAACCCAGGAGGCAGAGGTTGCAGTGAGTCGAGATTGCACCACTGTACTCGAGCCTGGGTAACAAGGGTGAGACTCTGTGTCAAAAAAAAAAAAAAATATATATATATATGCTTTGTTGCTAAAAATCCCTGGAAGTAAAATTTGACCTTTCTGGTTCCATGCTTAAATGTTTTTAAATCCTTCTTAAATATTGAAAACTCTGTTCTTATTTATATAAGCCTGTTGTAAGTTTATTTGAGGGCAAAGTAAAAAACATTGGTGACTGTAAAAGTGATGCTGTGATTACAGTAAGCTGGAATTTAAACTTAGAACACAGTGTAAGCCTTGCCAAGTTGATAGTTTACATTCTTTCAGCTATAACTACTCTGGGTTATTCAAGGAATAATGAGTTGTTATTTTACTTATTCAGTCATCTGGTGACCTGTAAATCATTTCTGTGTGTTAGAGAATTAAGGTAGTAGTGTTTTCTTTTTAATTGCAAACCACATTAAGCATAAGTAGGGCTCAATTGAGGTAACCGTTAGCCCCACTTAATAATAATCACTATGGGTACCTTGCTGCCTTGATCACAACCATAGATTTCCTCTCCCTTGACCCATGATATATATATATTTTTGAGACAGAGTTTTGCTCTGTCACCTAGGCTGGTCTCAAACTCCTGGTCTCAAGTGATCTTCCCACCTTGGCCTCCCAAAGTGCTAGGATTACAGGCGTGAGCCGCTGTACCCAGCCCCATATTTTTAAAACCTGAGTCACCCGTATTCTGACTTTTCTACTGTTGCCCCAGTCTCACTGCTTAGTATATAAACCAGAATAAAGGTGGTCCTCACTTCTATCTAAGCCCTACTGTTGTGGATTTAGAGAAAATACAAATCTGTACTGAGAGATGTAGAAGTTTTGAATAAACAGAGATGCCATGTTCCTATGTCGGAAATGTAAAAGTGTGGATTTATCCCTAGTTATTGCAGTCTTTGTATTGACATTAGAAATCCTAATTTGGGACGCTCACACCTGTAATCCTAGCACTTTGGGAGGCTGAGGCGGGCAGATTACCTGAGGTCAGGAGTTTAGGACCAGCCTGGCCAACATGGTGAAACCCTGTCTCTACTAAAAATACAACAAAATTAGCCAGGCGTGGTGGCAGGCGCCTGCAGTCCCAGCTACTCAGGAGGCTGAGGCAGAGGTTACAGGGAACTGAGATTCTGCCATTGGGCAACAGAGCGAGACTCTGTTTCAAAAAAAAAAGAACGAAAGAAAGAAAGAAATCCTAATTTGAATAATATTTGGTGGTTGTCAAAATGATGCTCAAATTTATCAGAAAGGTTAAGAGGGAAGTAATGAAAATAAACCAATTGGAAGTATTTATTTACTAAACACTGAAATATTAACCACTAGCGGCAGCTTTATTGTCACGGGAATAGTGGAAAAGAATGGAAAATGCAGAAGCAAGCCAAAGAACAGATGAAAATGTAGTGTAAATTAAAAGTTGCATTTAATTTAGTAGAGAAAGAATGCATTACTCAGTAATTATTAGCTAAACATTTGAATAAAATTAATTACATTTATCAGTCACACCATACAGAAAAATAAATTCCAAATGGTAAAATATTTAAATGTAAAAATAAAACTATTTAAAACCATCCTTTCCCACAAAAACAGTGATTACTTACATAATGTTAGGAGTGAGAAAGTCTTCCTTTGCATAGCTGCAAAGGTCAAATATATGATGGAAAAGATTTGTGAATTTGACTATGTAAATTTTAGGGTTTTTTAAAAAAAAATAACATCAGTTTTCTTATGATTTGTTGCTTTCTACTCCGTGATATGATGTAAAATACATGCTCGGTTTGTTCCACCAGTATTATTCTGCATAACAGTTTCTTAAAACAACCTCCTTTTGCCAAATGCCGTTTGAGTTTCTGTACCCCTGTTAAGCAAGAATTTTTTTAATTTGAATGTATTAGAGATTTCTTTCAAAGATCACAAATATGTTTCAAGTAGTGATATATACATTTTCTGAAAAGACGGTATAGTTAATTCTGTCAGTATGAAATCATATCAGCATGTGGTCTTCCTAGTGTGGTATTAACATGCCTGTTTTAGATTTCAGTGTCTGAAATGAAAGTGACTTCTAATTGAACATCTGTCTGCTCTACTAATAAGCAGATATTTTTGCCTCATTGCTTCTTCTGATCACTTTCTTAATTTATCAGAATGCCCAAGTGTTGTGAGGTCGAGCTACTTACATCATTCCTGCCCCTGGTTGAGCTTACTGCTTTTTTCTTTCTCTTTCCAGGTATCTGGCATAATTTTGTCCTTGCACTCTTGGGTATTTTAGCTCTTGTTCTCCTTCCAGTAATTCTCTTACCATTTTACTACACTGGAGTTGGGGTGCTCATCACTGAAGTTGCTGAGGTAAATAATGGATTACTCAGGGCATTCTTTCATCAGATGTTGTGGTGTAATACTTAGCATTTAATCAGGAAATTTTATTCAAGATCTCTTCATATATAAAATACTCAGTTTCTTCTGAAGAACTTACTGTAATCCTTTCAAATCTAACAAATAATGTTGGGAAACACATTGCATTTTTAAAGTTTCATGAAAATTGTTTTTGTCCTGATGCTATACTTACAAAGATCGTATCAAGATTTTCTACCTGTAGTTTATTAGTAAAATGCATCATTTACCTTTACCATTTATTTTTATATCTCTGCTTTTGAGTCAAATGTCTTTACGCCTCCTAAGTAGTAAGAAAGATGAAACCCAGGTCATCCAGCTGTAACATTTCATAGGGGTTTAAGTTAATCTCTTCAACTCTGTATTTCAGTCTCTTAGACAGTAACTGCTATGATGGTATCAAATCTTCTATTCAGACATTAGGAAGAGGAAAATTACCTTTGTGAGCAATTGGCTTATATATACCTTTTACTGATGGTATTGTCTGCATATTCGGGATATGTAAGGACTTGTCTTATTGTTTTATGTGTTAAGGATATAGGAAAGGAAAGGCAGTCTAATGATAATTTCACCAAAAAAATTTTAATTACAGTTTTGGAAAAAATTTTATCATTTTAGTCTTAACAGTCAGCAAGCAAGTCAGTTTTTTTTTTCAGTTGTAAAAAAAATCAAGATCTTAGAGAATTTGGGAAAAGCAACTATAATTATTGGGTTTTATTTAATTTTCTAGGACTGTGTCTTGAATTCAAAGCTAGATTATTTTCTGCATTTAAAATATTCTACTTAATTAACTCAGGGTCTTTATCATTTGCTCAGATTAATCATAGCTTATCTTCATGTATTATCTGATTTGGTTTTACCCTCTTCCCAAGGACTCTCCTGCCATTGGACCCAGAGGCCTTTTTGTGGGAGACCTTGTCACCCATCTACAGGATTGTCCTGTTACTAATGTGCAAGATTGGAATGAATGTTTAGATACCATCGCCTATGAGCCCCAAATTGGTTACTGTATAAGTGCATCAACTTTACAGCAGTTAAGTTTCCCAGTTAGAGGTGTGTATATTTCCTCAATATAATATAATGCTTCAATTACCCGTACCTGCCATTCACTAATCCTTAGACCATGTCTATAGATTTATTCTCTTCTAATCTTTTTAAAGCAAATCAGTTAAGTAAATAGGTTCAAACTAATAGACATTTTTCTTGGTAAGTTGGATGCTAATATGTATGTTTCCTTTATGTATTGTTGTTGAACTTCTATTTTCATAATATCATATTTGACTTTTAGGACTCTAATACTTTCTGCTTTCAAAACACTTAAATTAATTCATAGCCGGGTACAATAGCTCATGCCTTTAATCCCAACACTTTGGGAGGCTGAGGTGGGCGGATCACTTGAGGTCAAGAGTTCATGACCAGCCTGGCCCACATGGTGAAACCCCATCTCTACTAAAAATACAAAAATTAGTGGGACATGGTGACGGGCACCTGTAATCCCAGCTACTCGGGAATCTGAGGCAGGATAATTGCTTGACCCTGGGAGGTGGAGATTACAGTGAGCCAAGATCGGGACACAGAGTGAGACTCTGTCTCAAAAAAAAAAACAATTCAGCATTGAAGGTCAATCATAACTAATTAGCTAATTCCAAAAATTAAATATCCCCAATATAATATTATCTTTATGTATGTCTATAGATATATTATAGTACTTTAATTTATACTTTTATAACTGAAAAGGGGAATATAAGTAATAAGAACCAGTTCTACTTTGCATAAGCTTATGTCAGAACAGATAAACAACTGTTAGTTAACAACTAAATGTATAAAAATCAAAGCATAAACATTCTGTATTCATATATTGTTAGCCCACCACAGGCATACAATAAGGAAGGATTAAAAGAAATAAAAGGAACTTGGCAAACAAAAAACCTATCTGGGATTTAGAAAAATTTCCCTTACTTCTTAAAAATTCCCTTAATACCTAAACTTAAACAGTTCTACTGGTAGCTGTGTGGATGTTGGCATGTCTGAATCTATCTAGAGTTATTTTATGTATTTTATGTGGCATGCATCCTAAGGAAGTTATCTTGGCTTCCAGAAATACCCTGTGAAGTCAGATATGTTGCTCTGTGCAGCAGATGACAGAGCTGAAGCAAATTTCTTCTCAAATCCTGCCAAACTTATTTTGAGTTCTTTCAGTTCTGAAAAATCAGCTTCCCAATTCTTTATGCAAAATCAGTTTCCTAATTCTTTATACAAAATCAGTTTCCCAATTCTTTATATAAAATCAGTTTCCCAATTCTTTATACAAAATCAGCTTCCAAATTCTTTATACAAAGTTGAAGGTGTTAGAAAATAGAAATTATGCTCACAAACTATATCCTGATACTTGTCCACATCTATTGCTGTAGGGAAATAAGACCAATAATCAAGAATAGTTTTACTAAAGTACTGTGTGCAACACAAAGTAGTAAGAACTGATTTTTTAAAAAACTTTTTAAGATTTACTCTTCCATGTATAACCCATTTGTAAGAACTTTTTTATTATCAAAAATGTTTAGATATACATAAAAGTCCCGAGAATAGTATAAACAAGCCTACATGTATCCTTCTGCCAGCTTTGGCAATTATTAACATTTTGCCAATTTTTTCATCTAAGCAGCCCACTTTTAGGGGAAGTATTTTAAAGTACATCCCAGGCAACCTATCATTTCATCCATAAACTTTCAGCCTGCCTTTAACAGATGATGACTTATTAAACATGAACACAATACTGTTATCATTCCTAACATAGTAACAGTAATTCCTGATATCTAGTTGGTATTCGGTTGTTTCTAATACTTTTTATTTTAGTTGATTTAAGTTAGGATGTCTTGTAAGACTCTTTTAATTTGTAACAATTCCCCTTGACCAGTTTTTGAAATGTCATTTTTGTTTTGAAGAAACTGAGTCATTTGTTTTGTTGAATTCCCTATATTCTGGTTTCTTTCTGGTTATATCTTATCCTCATCATGTCATTAACTTGTTCAGATGTCTTCCAGTTTTCTATAAACTGTTAATTAGGTCCATGGCCTTGATTAGATTCAGAATTCTTTTTTTTTTTTTTTTTGGCAAACACACTTCATAAGTGGCACTTGGTACTTCCTGTGGCATCATATTGCATCTGGTATCTATTGTTCTCTGTTTTAATGATGTTAAGATTGTTCAGTGGACCAATCTGATTCTTTAAGGTTGAAATATTTATAAATTTTCCCCATTCTCAAGAGCCTCTTACCATCTTCCAAAACTTTTAAGATGACAGAAGTTCAATATATAATCCACAATGTGTTTTCCTTTAAAGAAATGATTCATTATTTCCTACTTCTTAAGTCCTTTATCATTATCTTCTGGTTTCTCTAAATTTGTAACGTAATATGTATTGAATTACAAAAACCAAAGTGACACCCTAGTTAAAGTTCTCTGCAGTAGGATTGTTTTACTTAAGATATCTGCATTTTCAGATGTTTAGGGTTTTATCTTTTTCCTGTCAGACAGACTGTAAATAAAAATTTTCCCTGAAATACTCAGAAACTTTCTTCTTATTAACTTTATTTCTCTGTTATGGATCATGTGCTATATTTTGGAGGTATTTGTTTAAATACCTAAAGCAGATATTACTCTTTCTACACTAAAATAAATCCAGAAGTAATTCTTTTTTTTATTTTGCCAAGCCTCCCAGCTCGAGAATAATTCTTCAATATGTATTTTGTCTCAGTATACATGTTAACTTTACATGATTACTATATCTGATAAATCTGTGCCTCTAAACTTTTGAAAATGGAGCATGTATACTTAGCCAGTTTAAAGGACTATTAATGTCTGTAAATGTCACTTAAAATATATACTAGGGCTGGTCTAAATGCAGTTGTGGTTACAATCAATTGATCACAACCAGTTACAGAATTATTTGTTCCGTCTCTACTCCCACAGCATCACTTGACTGGCCTTATAAAAAACATACTAGATTAATTTTGGTGGCCGGCTTAGCCATTAGGGCCATGGACATTTAAGAAAGCTATGGATTGATGGTATTTTAAATGTTTCTAGATAATTTTGTTATCCTTCATTATAAATAGGAATAAAAGTTATGGTCAGATATAGCAGTACAATGTGTCCAGTGATCCAAAAGTTATTTATGTTCAGTTTACAGTAGAGTTCAGTACATATAACTAAATGCTAAGAATTTATACCCCTTCAGAGCAATAAAGCCACCTTGGAAAGATAATACCCTGGAAGTGCTTGTAAACTGTCTCCACCAATAATCTCTAGCCTCTTATTTCATACCCTGTCTCGCCTAGATGCAGTATTAGATTTAAACTCTTTGAAGATTAAACGGCCTTTTGGGGAAACTCCAAGAAGAACACTGAGTGAGGGCTTAGAGCCCTTTGCACCTGGTATAGATCTCTGGTCTTACTCTGGGTCAGAATAGAAAACATGCACTCTTCCCCCATTCATACTGAAGCCTCTGCTTTTAGGATTGCTGATTGTTCATAGGCTACTCTGTGATTTAAATAGAACTGAAAGTTACAGACAATAACTAGCATGGATCTTTTGGGGGACTATTTTCCTAACAAGTACTTTGCATCTTCTCTCTTTATTTTGAGGGAGGTACTCCTCATTTCATGTATGCATAAAGCTAAATTCCTTTTTGATAAAAGCATTGAGTAAGAAAAGCTGTCCTTAGCAAGTCCAGCGTTTGAACTACATTTTAAGGTACACAAAACAGAATGCTAAGGCAACTGCTGCTTAAAATGAGGCTGTGAGCCCAGACTCAGGCATCTACCCTGAACAGTTTACATTCCTATTCAAAGGAGGTGAGGGTTTATTTCCTTACCTGCCTGGCAACAGAAATATTAAACTGTCTTACATATCTTTAACTGAAGTGAGAGAAGACCCTCCTTGACCCAGTTTAAGATAATAAAAGGAAAACTCTGGGAATCTTTTCAACAAACTTTGAGTAGTCAGATTGTTTTTATGTCCAAATTGCCCTAATATTTGAAAATTTAAAAAGGCTTTTTTTTGTCATTATGGGCATCAAATGATGGTTCAAGGTTTCTTTGCTGTCCTAAATTGAAGAGTAAGAGTTGTGTGTGTGTGTGTGTGTGTGTGTGTGTGTGTGTGTCCGTGTCCATGTGTATATTTTTTTAATTTTTATTTGTTTATTTATTTTTGAGACAAAGTCTGTCTCTGTCACCCAGGCTGGAATGCAGTGCTGTGATCTCGGCTCACAGCAACCTTTGCCTCCTAGGTTCATGTGATTCTCATGTTTCAGCCTCCCAAGTAGCTGGGATTACAGGAGCACCACCACACCTGGCTAATTTTTTTTGTATTTTTTAGTAGAGACAGGGTTTCACCATGTTGGCCAGGCTGTTCTCGAACTCCTAACCTCAGGTGATCCTCCTGCCTCAGCCTTCCAAAGTGCTAGGATTACAGGTACGAGCCACTGCACCTAGCCCTGTGTGTGTGTGTGTGTGTTTAACTACTTGTTACTAGGCAATGATGGCATAAAGTGAGCAATAGAAATAAGAATAAATAGGCTTGGTTCCCTGCCTTGGAGCCCTAGCTCTGTGTTATATATTTAACAAGCTAGGGTAAGAAAATTGTTCAGTTCATATTAGAGATATAGAGAGTGGTAGGCACTGGGAACTAGAGATTGAAAAAATCTCTTCTCTCCAGCTTTATTCCACAGTCACCTCTGGTCTAGACCATTGTTTGTAGACAGGACTATTTCTGTGATTATCCTAGGGCTCATCTTAGGGTACATTCACAATATACTGTACAAGTTCTCCCTGTAGTAAAATTATGAAACTCTTCTGGCCTTAAATTTTTCTGATTGTCTTCCCTACTGGGGATATTTAAGGGACAATTCTAATCTAGAGTTAAATTGAACCCAAAAATTCCCCTGGGGACACCCTATTGCAATCCTGAATACTCCTTCCAAAGTAGAATTGTAACTGTATTGGCCTCTCGTAACTGATAAAAGTACATGAAAGTAAAATTTATCTGCGTCGCACCCCCCCATCTTATAGATTAAGAATCAAGTCACAGAAACTGGTTAAGTAACTTGTTCTTTATGTGACACAGTAGAAAAGATTCTAAAATTAAATATGTTTAAGCCTACAACTTTTTTAAATGTCAATAGAGAAATATCAAGTGCACTTCTCACATGAAAACAAAATATTTAACTCTTTATTGGAAAATTCTGTATGTCAGAAGGTACTTAATCTTGTCAGGGAGGCCACCGCCATGGATTTCTATTTTGCTTAGAATAAATGCCACAAGAAGAAGCCCTAAACCAGAGTTTGCAAATTGGTGGTAGCCTCCAGGCCAAATCCAGTCTTAGCAGATGTATTTGCTTTGGCTGGCTCAGTGTTTTTTATTTTTTCATTGGCTGCCAGTGTTTAAACTTCAACGGACTTCACAGGAAGGTCCAGATTTCTGGTTTCTGTTGGAACAAAATGGAAGATCTATCGAATCTGGGCCCCAGATTGAGTGGCCTGACTGCTAATCCCCCTAGAACAGAAATGTGTTTTCGAGTTCATCACAGTCCCCACCACTTTTCGTTTTTTTTGTTTTTTTGTTTTTTTCATATGATCCACTTATTTATTTGGTACCTGCTTGGCCCATTTAAGCATTTATATTACCAAACATGCTGTACCGATAGCGATAATAAATTCTTGACTTCCAATTCCGTATTATACCCAGTCCTCTAAGAAAAGTTAGTAATTAAGCATCAGCTGTAAACATTTTAAGATCATTACTGGTACAAAGGCAAGTGGCATAGAACATCATTTAGGTATTCAATGTATATTGAGTAATCCACCTTATATACAACACTGAGAAACCTTTCCCTCAAGGAGCTCACAGTTTAGTTAGAAAAACAGACCATACCCACATTATTACAGTACAAGATGAAGTTGAAGTAATGACAGGCAATATTGGGAAATGACAGTCTTGACTGAGAAGATGAAGGCAGGTTTCACAGCATTAGCCCTTGAACTGGCTGTCAACAGTGAGTTTACTTTTAGGAGGTCAAGATGGACATGGACTTCAGCACCATCGAATAGAAGGTGGTCAAGGAACTGCCAGTAATTCAGTTTAGCAAGAGAATCATAAGAGATAAGGTAGTAAAAAAAAAAAAGTAGCCTAAATTTAAGCTATGAATTTTAGACTTTATTTGGGAACAACACAGAGTCTAAAGCTTTGAATTAAAGAAATTACATTCTTGGAGTTATATATTGGAAGTTTAATCTGAAGCATTTAGCATGTAGGACACATTTGCATATGATAGCTAGGTAGAGAGCAAACAGACTTGTACAGGTCTGTTTAGATGGGTTAGGTAAGAAGTAATTGGTCTGTACTCAAGTGGGAATAGATAAGGAGAAAAATGAGGAGGAGGTAAAATTCCATGGGACTTGGCAATCTGATCAAAGAGAACACTGAGGGTTTTAGCTTGGATTGATTTTTCTAAAAAAAATTCCTAAACAACTGTTTACCTTATACTTTACCATTAGGGCTGACAAATGATTATTTGCTGTGGTTTGTCTGTGCCATTAGATGCTCATGGTCTGCTTTAATATTTTAAATACTCCTCACTCAAAATTAAATACCCATTCAGTTATGATAAGAAAACAGAACAGGCCAGGTGTAGTGACTCATGCCTGTAATCACAGTACTTTGGGAAGCCAAGGTAGGTGGATCACTTGAGACTAGGAGTTCAAGACCAGCCTAGCTAACATGGTGAAACCCCACTGCTACTAAAAATACAAAAAAATTAGCTGGACGTGGTGGCGCGTGCCTGTAATCCCAGCTACTCAGGAGGCTGAGGTGGAAGAATCACTTAAGAGGCAGAGGTTGCAGTGAGCCAAGGACACGCCACTGTATTCCAGACTGGGCGACAGAGTGAGACTCTGTCTCAAAAAAAGAAAGAAAACAAAATTACCCATGCAGCCAATCATCAGTTAGTTTCTTTTGCCTCTGTTTGGTTCTTTGCTATGTTTTGGCCAAGGAGCAAGAGTGACAGCATATTGCTAGAGGAAATCCAGTATAACCAATACAAAGATGTCTTCCTCAAACAATGGAGTAAAACAAAAAACTATTTTAAAATAAGCAAAAACTTTTGGCTGAAATACAAAATCTTTATAAAATTAAAATAACGTTGCATATCAACTAACATTTTCACGCTAAAGTGGTCCTGAAGGCACTCTTGTAATAGAAAAGCTTTTTGTAGTACTGAGAAACAGGGATAATTTGACTCAGAGTCTATTTTCATCAGCACATCTGAGTATGGCAGTTTATATTCAAGTTTCAAATTTAATTGGTCCTTGCCACCCATCAATTTATACTTTACCAGTTTGATGTGTTGGAATGCAGGTCAACAAATAAATACATGTCACCTGGGCGACAGAGCGAGACTCTATCTCAATTACTCACTTGTCAATCAATAAATAAATAGAACAGTGGCGACAGAGCGAGACTCTGTCTCAGTAAATAAATAAAGGGAATGAACAGTTGCCCCATTGCTGTTGTCTTCCAAAAATGGTAACTGGATTACTGGTGTACAGGCAGATATGTGTATATCTGTGGATCACATTGGGCATCCCTGGTTCTCTAGGGGGAGCCCCAAAGTAAGCCTGGGGATAAAATCGGTATTTCAATAGAATGGGGATGTCTTAGGCATCCTCTGGCCCTCCCTGTTTACCACTACCACAATGCAGGGCTTCCAAGGTAATGTTGGATTATCAGCATTCAGGCACATAATAGCAGTTCGTTAAATGTTTGTGCCTGACCAGCGGGACTTACTATTGTGAAACCTACTGAGACACTGCAACTCCAGCTTTATGGGTAGGCCAGTTTATATGAGGACAACTAGCCTAGGGTAACTGCTGCTTCTTGATTTAAAATTGAATGGATCTCTTTTGTTAATATAAAATCAAACTGCAGCAAGTAACCCTCAAGCTGAACTCTGAATTGTCCAGTTGCTTCTAAATTCATATGCCATTTTACTTATTATTTTTGTCTTAAAGGCATTTTTTGTTACAAAGGTACTTTTATGTAAGAGACTCTAATAAACAGTATATTTCTCTTTAGCATACAAACGGCTAGATGGTTCAACCGAATGCTGTAACAATCACAGCCTCACAGATGTGTGCTTCTCCTACAGAAATAATTTTAATAAGCGTTTGGTAAGTTGTCCCTGAAACAGTCTTACTTGTCTGATATAATTACTACAAAATAAGCGTATACAGCTAAAATGGAATCTGGAAGCTTCTCTCTTTTGCTCTATTTGTATCATTCTATTAAAATCTCTACATTTCACATGTCATTTCATCTGAAAATCTTTAAAAATTTATAGTGATAATATATTATTTTGCCCAAGTGGGGTACTTGAATCTATTTTATAGTAAGTGCACATAGATGGCATTTCTTTTATATGAACCTAATTCCTGATATACTAGGTGCATGAAAGACATTTAAAGAATGTAACTTAGGTTTTTCTTAATAAATCATTTCAAATATTGACTGATTAATATTTTATTTATAGCATACATGTCTTCCTGCCCGGAAAGCAGTTGAAGCGACCCAAGTTTGTAGAACCAACAAAGACTGTGAAAAAAGCTCAAGTTCAAATTTCTGTATAATACCTTCTTTGGAAACTCACACCCGCTTAATAAAAGTAAAACACCCACCTCAAATTGATATGTTATATGTAGGACATCCTCTGCATCTTCACTACACAGGTGAGTATTTTTGTGGTAGACCCTTAGAAAATTATTAAGATCACATAGTCTCAGTGGTAGAAACTCAGTACCAATCCTTGTATTAACTCATTTATTATAAATTTGATCATTTATCAAAGTCTTGTTAACTTGCTCTTAAGTATTAAGTGAAAATTTTGCAGTAGGAAGATAATCTGAACTTATAAAGTAAGATGGAGCTGAATCCATGCCTGCCTATGGAGAGTGACATATTTTTCCTTCCTTACCATTTATGCCCAGGTCAAATAGGTGATCTCTCAGGTGTCCTCTGAGAGTTTATTAAATTTATCCAAGCTCCCCAAAACAGTGGCAAAAGCAACATACCATAGAGAATGCCAGGATGCATGGGATGTAACTATAAAGTAATTTATGTGTGACACGTGACTCATATGAATATACTTTAAAAACTGGGCCAGCATAATCATCTTAATAGTGGCAGCTTTATTGGACTAAGTATTGGACTAAGTTCTTTATGGCTAAGGATCATGTAGTCTAACTCATTTTGTTGTACAAGACTTTTAAAATAGTTTACCATGCAATTTACCCATTAAAGTGTACAATTCAGTGGGGTTTTGTTTGTTTGTTTTTGTTTTGTTTTGTTTTGAGACAGAGTCTCACTCTGTTGCCCAGGCTGGAATGCAGTGGTGCAGTCTCGGCTCACTGAGACGTCCACCCCTGGTGCTCAAGTGATCTTTCCACCTCAGCCTCCCAAGTTGCTGGGACCACAGATGGGTGCCACCATGCTGGGCTAATTTTTGCTTTTTGTAGATACAGTCTCACTGTGTTATCCAGGCTAGTCTCAACTCCTGAGCTCAAGCATTTCTCCCTCCTCAGCTTCCAAAAGTGCTTGGATTATAGGCATGAGCCACTGTGCCTGGCCCAGTGGTTTTTAATATATTAAGTTGTGCAATCATCACCACAAGCTAGCGCAGAATATTTTTGTCACCACAAAAAGAAACCCCATACCCATTAAGTAGTCACTCCCTGTATCTCTCCAACACCCCCCAGCCCTTGGCAATCTCTAATCTACTTTGTTTCTATAAATGTGCCTGTTCTGGACATTTCATATAAATGGAATATTTTATGACTGGCTTCTTTGATGTAGCTTAATGTTTTCAAGGTTTATCTGTGTTGTGGCATTAATTAGTACTTGTTTCTTTTTAAAGCCAAATGATATTCCTTTGTGTGGGTAGACCACATTTTCTTTATTCATTCATAGTTAATGGATATGTGGGTTTTATATTACCCTTTAAAAGACTCTCTCATTGGCCGGGCGCGGTGGCTCACGCCTGTAATCCCAGCACTTTGGGAGGCCGAGGGGGGTGGATCACGAGGTCAACAGATCGAGACCATCCTGGTCAACATGGTGAAACCCTGTCTCTACTAAAAATGCAAAAAATTAGCTGGGCATGGTGGCGCTTGCCTGTAATCCCAGCTACTCAGGAGGCTGAGGCAGGAGAATTGCCTGAACCCAGGAGGCGGAGGTTGCGGTGACCCGAGATCACGCCATTAAACTCCAGACTGGGTAACAAGAGCAAAACTCTGTCTCAAAAAAAAAAAAAATTTGTACTATGAGTTCTACCTAATTACATGATAGTTTTAAAATGTTTTAAACAAAAACAGGATTATGGAATCCACAGAGTAGATGAGACTTTAAATCCTCTCGTCTTAATCCTTGTTTTGGCAATGAAGAAAAAAAAAGTCACAGACCTGAAAGAGGTTAAGTAGCCTAATAGTAAGAGTAAATATGATTTTAAGGTTATACCCCTTTGAAAGGATAAGGACTCTTAATGTAAATTTCTTATTCTTGCCTCAAAATAGAAGTACAAACTGGGACATATTTTTTCATTCTGCTGTTTTTATTAGATGTTCTAGAAGTATTATTTGCTTTTATGTGTGAAGTATATGGCCTGCATATGTTTAGGAAGGGCTTTCTCAGTTTAATCTGCTAGCCCAATTTTCAACCATATGGTTAAATTCATAATGCTATTGCTTCTCTGGTATTAATAATATTTATTATTCCTTCTTTTTCAGTGAGCATCACTAGTTTTATCCCACGTTTCAACTTTCTAAGCATAGATCTGCCAGTGGTTGTGGAGACATTTGTCAAGTATCCTTTGTGGTGTGAAACATGTTTTAAAAGAGTGTTACTTGGAGCTTGATCAAGTTTACCTTGAAAAGAGCATTGCAAGTATAGATTTCACAAGTATCACTTAATTGCTAACAACTAAAAAAGAGTCTTGAAAGTTGAAAAAGATCAGATTGTACCCAGGAGGGAAGAAGTCAGAGGAGAAAGATTATAATCAGAGTGAGAAAGGTTAAAGACGTAAAAGGGAAAGAACCCAGAATACAAATTGAGAATTAAATTTACAGGTCTAAAACATTTTCATAAGTTTATAAAGAATGGAAGCTTCAGTTACTAGTGAGGTGATGAATTCTGCCCCATCTGAGCCTATTAGTTCTGACCAAATAGAGGGTGTAAATTGCATAACCAGGAATTATATAAATCCGTTCCATAGATCCCAGGGAGGAATGCACAAGAAAGATCAAGCTGGTTTCAACTATTAAGATAGCAATTCAGAAGGCCAAATCTCACGTGGTCTTTAGCATATTATCATAGTACATAAAAGATGAATTTTTTCATATTAATTATTATACAGAATTGAATTACTGGAAAGTTGTGGAAGGGTTCTTTATTTTTGTTGCTTTTAAATTTTTTAATGTTTTTCCTCAATTATTTACAAAAGAAATGGAAAACATATGAGCAGTTACTGAAAAAAAACATGTATAATCAAGATTGTGACTGGGCACAGTGGCTCATGCCTGTAATACCAGCACTTTGGGAGACAGGTGGGTGGATCACCTGAGGTCAGGAGTTCGAGACCAGCCTGACCAATACGGTGAAACCCTGTCCCTACTAAAAATACAAGAATTAGCCAGCCATCATGGCGTGCACCTGTAGTCCCAGCTACTTGGGAGGCTGAGATAGGAGAATCGCTTGAACCCAGGAGGCGGAGTTTGCAGTGAGTCAAGATCGTGCCACTGTACTTCAGCCTGGGTGACAGAGCAAGACTCTGTCTCAAAAAAAAAAAAAAGAAAAGATTGTACCTTATAGACTGTGCAGCTTTGTCACAAAGAGACTTAGGCTATAACCTTATAGATGGTAATAAAATAAAGTAGGCTTCAAAGGCCAAAATCTTTGTTTCCTAATTTAAAGTAATACATTGTAAGGCCCAAAGAGTAATTTTCCCCTTATTTCTTATTCCTTCCACATTCCTTTCCCTGTTGTATCATTAAAGGATTAGAAAGCCTTAGTCTTCCTACAAGTTCATTATAGATTGGCTTAGTTTATAAGTGGTTGGTCTTTATTTTTCTAGTCATGGTTTTTAAACTTTGAAATAATATAAACTCATTTGTTTTAAGCAGTAGAGATCTAAGAAGGAATGGCAGAGATTTAAAGAAAGTAGAGAAGTAGTGTAATCTCAAATTCAGTCACAGCAAAATATCTTCTGACTCATAGAAATGTGGTTGCTACTCAGACCTCACACGCTTGGTTCCTTAACTGATTTTAACCCAGGTACCTGATTTCCCTCTCAGGAGCTCTGGCTATTGTTAATGCAGTACCCTGCTTTGCTTTGGATGGACAATGGATTTTAAACTCTTTCCTGGATGCCACCCTTACCTCAATGATTGGAGACAATGATGTCAAAGATCTAATAGGGTTTTTCATCTTGCTGGGTGGCAGTGTACTTTTGGCTGCCAATGTGACCCTGGGACTCTGGATGGTTACAGCACGGTAATGTTTGCACTCATATGGCAGAATCCCTGAGTTACAGTATATAGTATGTGGTAATGTCCATTGCCATTGAAATTCTTGGCATGAAATATAAAGTGTTTCCTTAAAATTACATCTTTGCCAACAACCCTGAGCTCCTCCCATATCCAGAGTACTCAAACTCTGCGGTGGAAGATAAGCAGAAGAAATGAAAGGCATAGTCCCTGACTACATTCTAATTTAGAGACTGAATGTACCCAGTTGCTTGTGGAATAATATCTGAACAGGTGCAAATTCATGCAATACCATTTTGTGTGATTATGTATTGTGTTGAAATAGTATAAAGGAGAATAGAACTGGGTGGAATTAATAGGGAAACACTTCTTACAAAAGCATCATTAATCAAAATTTGAAGGAAATTAGACTTTGGCCAAGTGGAAGGATGACCATTTTCTTGGCCTCAATATCTTGTCCTTTGTCTTGTTTGAAAAGTATTTTAAAATTTAATGGTGTATTATTTTGTTCTCTGAAAACTGAGGTCTGATTATAATTAGTAAAATTCTATAGAAGAATCTGCTGATGTGAAAGGGAAAAATCTTTGTTAAATGATACCAAATAAATGAACAAAATAGGAAGTAGGACCTATGATATCATGAGACATGTTTTGCCCCACAAGAATTGCATCTTTGATAAGGTGTCTCTGCCCCCTCACAAAGCATACTAGCTTTGACATCCACAGTGAGCTGCAGGAAGTGTCTCACACCAGCAGCATGTGAGCTGAGGGAGGCAGTTAGGGTTGAACCTCAGAACTAGACCAGGTCTCCTGACAGATCACAAGACACCCCAGAGGCTCTTCAGTAGTCCTGCTTCCCATTCTCTATAGAGCTTTGAAGCTTGGACCCCTTCCAGGGTAAACATTTTCTCTTGTGCTGCTAAGGCCATTTGGGGCCTAGGTCCTGGGTTCCTGTCTCCAAGAAGCAATGACCTTAAACTCTGAGCCATACTCTGTCCTCACCAGCGACTCCCATGTTTCTCTGTGTCAGGTTATTAAGTACCTAGTCCTTGCTTTCTGTCTCTCCCCTAAGCTACCTCTCTGGGTCCACAGAAGACTTAGTAGTATAGTGAGAATGGCTATACATGAGTACAGATGTGGATTTGCCAGAGCCTGGCAAATGTAAGAAGACTTAGTAGTATAGTGAGAATGGCTATATATGAGTACAGACGTGGATTTGCCAGAGCCTGGGAACTGACTCTTGAGCCCAGAGGAGCCACACCTGGTTCGAGGGCTTTTGGAGTGGAGATGCAGCCCTGGGAAATTTGGGAAGTCAGCAGGCTAGTGTGAAGCTATTGGTTTCAGAAGTATTTGAGCTTGCTGTTTCTTTGATGAAAAATACATGCTTCTCTCATATACTCAGAAGTGATTAAGGGCAATAACTCATTAATAGCCAGGTATCCAACTTCTTTACTGAGGTATTCCATGAGGTTACCTTTTACAGATCATTGAGTTATTCTTTAAGCACTAAAATTTTTTAATCATTTTTAAGAAACTTTTTAGATTGTATTACAAATTTGCCTTCTTAATAGAAATTGTATATTGAGTATAATTTTAACATTTTATTAATGACTTGAGTCATCAGTTAATATCAGTACTAAAGCCATGTGAATTATTGGTTTATTCCAGAAAATATGGCGTTTGTTCTATTTTTAGGTAGACAGTCGTTTGGGATCAGAGTATATTAGCATAGTAATGCTCAGACCTGTTCAAGTAGTAGAGCTTGGAGAATGCCAGGAAATACTTATATAACTAATTTAATTGCATGTACTAAGCAGTTTACTAATGAAAAGGTTGTATATGTGCAAGTCTGTTTTTTTTAAATGGTGAAAAAATTTTAATAGAAGAAATCTTATTCATTAATTTATTTTTCTGAGTAGAAAAACAAAACCCAAATATCATTTTATTTCAGCTGTTAAACACTTTGGTCTGTTGATCCGTAGGATCAGGGTTTGGGAACCACTTTACTAGGAAAGAGCAGATCAGTCAGTACCATTTGTATAAAACTGGCCTCATTAAGAAAGAAAATGTTATGTGTTGTCTTGTTTAGCTTAGTTGTGGGTACTTCTACAACAAGGACCATATCATATTCATCTTTGCATCCCTGGCACAGTGCATGAGATATAAGTACTTAATAAATGCAGTTGAGTGAATAATGATTAGTGTTATTTATGGATTAGAAAAAGCATGTTTCTATTTAAGTAAGCTGTAAAAAGTATTATCGAATATTTACTGTAAATATATGTTAACATAAAAAAACTTTGAAGGCCTTTGTGTCCCTGGCAGAATATCATCTTTATGGAAAGAATGTACTTTGGTTTCTGTGGAGTGATTGGAAAAATGAGTTATTTTGAGGATTGAAGAAAGTGTTCTTTCTGTGTTGTAACTTTGTTCAACAGTAAAACTTTATTCTCAGTGTTCCTACTCTGCATTGTTTACATTTTTGAGAGTTTTTTTAAAATCACCTACAATCTGTAAAGAATGTATATATTCTTTTCAGCATCTCAGTTTGAAAAGACATGCAGTTAAACTTGACCTTTTGATAATCGCTCTTACAGGTCATTGTCTTTTCTAACAGCAAATTATAAACATGTGCTTCATAGATATTGTGGCTCTCAGTCATCATTTTGTCCTATGGTATTTATTGAATGTTCACATACTAATGGTGCACAGGTATTTTTTTCTACAAATCTTCTGACTGTTCTGTAATTCATTCTTAAACTTTAACTTGAAGATATCGTAATATCCAGCGTTGGATGTTTAGCAATAAAAGAATAAATGTGTACTAGCATTTTATGTTTATCATCATCTATGTGTTGTCTTTTTTTAACTCTTTTCTATCAAAATTGTTCCTATTACATAAAGCAAGACCTTAATTGTCTTTAAATTCTTGATTCTAAAAGCAGCCTTCAGTTTTCATTCATATAATCTATACCTGAAAGTCATTGCAGGCCTTGAAAAGAAGTCTTTTAAATGAGGCTCCTGTGCACTTGCTACTGTCTTGGTAATGGCTGGTTTATGGATGAAGAAAGAGGACTATCATGTTTCCTTTCATTACTGTCTGACAGAAAAGTCTGCCGTAAGTTAGGAATTCTTGGAAGGAATGTTTTAACTGAGATTTGGTTCTTCTTGACCTTTTGCCTTAGTGCTTTCTCCCATGTTTGTTCTCTCTCTCTCTCTCTCTCTCTCATACTAAGGGCCAGATAAAATAGGCTTGGAATTTAGCCCAGTTTTTCACTGGTTAGCCTCATTCCACTACTTCTTGCCTCTGATCCCATTACACTACAGTTAAAAGCCACAAGACTAGATGACTAATTATCTAAGCCACTTTTTTAACAGCTGTATTGAGATATAATTAAATGCCATAAGGTTCCCTCTTAATGTGTGAACTTTAAAGTGTTCAATTCCATGTAAACTATTTTTCTCTTAATGTCCGAGCAAACAATAGCATGCATATGCTTTTGTGTAATCCAACCTTTTAAGTAAATGTACACATGATAAAAGACTGGAGGGAAAAATGTGTTTTAGTTATTTCACAACTATTTTAATTCTGGAATGGTTTTCAGAAACGTAATAAAGCTGAATAACAGTTCTTTTTGAGCATGTAAATATACTTTCTTTGAGACAATAAGCCTTTTAAATCAGTACATTTGCAAGCTACTCTTGCTATTGGGACCATACTAATTTGAATAATCCATTGTATATTTTATTGGACCATGACATATGAATTCAATGAAAGGAAACCCTCTGTTGCAGAACTCAGTGCTACAATAGGTTATACTCAGGGTGGAGGTAAGGAAAAATGGCTACTTACGAAGCAGGTTATATTGTATAATTTAATTTTCCATTAAAGAAAAAGAGGAAAAAACACCCATATATGTTAGTTTTATTTAGCTGAAGATTGATAGTTAGTCAATAATTGTCCCTTCTTATTAACTGAATGCTTCTCAAACTTTTCTACTGATATGCTCCTGGACACTGTAGAGGAGGGAAAACCTAGCGGGATCTAAGAGTGGAACCCTGTAATTGGCTCTCCACAGTATAAGATTGAACTCTCACTATATCTTCAGTTTTATGTAGATTTTGCATCTCATTAATCTAGTCATGCATCTTAAAGCCAATTCTCTTAAAGATATGTAATTCTAAACTGTAAAAGAATTAGACTATAAGAATATTAAGAATTTCTTCACTTCTAAAACACATTCTGGTCTGTAGACTAGTGACAGTCTATGGTGGTATTTTTTGTCCATCCAAAGTGAAATGAGAAAAATAAAGATCATGTATATTGTCTTTAATTAAAAAGTAAGTATAATATATGTGTAATGTTATAAGGCTGTCTGCTGCCCTTTATCAAAGAGCTCCCCTTTATTTGGAGTATGGAAACGCATACTTGATTTCCCTTAGCACTGCTAGATTGCCCTCCAAAAATGTCTTTTTATAACTGATCCTCTTATTGGCAAGACATGAGGGTTCCATGTTTGCCCACCCCCTTACCTCCACCTGAATTATCTGACTTCCATGTTCTGACAAATCTGTTGGGTTTAAAATGACATTTCAAAAAGAAAAAAACATTTCATTTTAATTTGTATTTCTTAGATTACTAACCAAGTTGCACATTCATATAGTTGTGTACCCCTTTGGATTTTTCATTCTGCCACTTGCTTATTGATATCCTTTGCCTAGTTTTCTATTGTGTGTCCTAACTTTTTTTATTGATCCATAGAAATTTCTTTGGATCAATAAAAAAAGTATTCTAGATTTTCTAGATTGGAGGTCAGCAAATTATAGCCTGTAGGCCAAATCTTGCTCACTGCCAATTTAATCAACTTTTATTGTATTTTATTGGAACACATTCATTCATGTATTTGATGACTGCTTTTGTGCTACAATGGCTGAGTTGAGCAGGTGCAACAGAGATCATATAGCCAAAAGCCTAAAATATTTGCTTTGTTTTACAAATATTCAGAACAACCCATGTTCCAGATATCATTCTGCTTACAGAACAACCCAAGTCCTAGGTATCAATCTCTTATACATTTTAGATGCTGCAAATAATTTTTCTCAGTCTGTCACTCATCTGTAAATTTTGTTTATGAGGTCATTTGTTGAACAACAATCTTTAGTTTAATATAGCAAGATCCGTCAATTTCCTGAGTTGTTATTCATGTTTTGTGGGTCTTACTGAAAAAGTCCTGTCCTGTCACAATAATATTCTCTTACATTTTCTTCTATTTGCTTTAAAGTTGTACTTTCATGATGAGATCTTTAATTTCTGGAATATATGATATGAGGTAGGGAATCCAGGTTTATTTTTCTATATAGATTTAACTATCCTTAAAATAATAGTATTTTTCTTTTTAAGACTATTATATGAAACAGCTTATATAAAGTAGTTAATATGGTGCCTAGGATGCTCATGTCATTACTGGTATTATGAACTTAAAAAGTACTTATTTTCAGAATGTAGGATTAGGACTTAATTTGCCCTGAAATCTCAGTCTGTACTGGTGTTAGATGTTGTCTCTTTTTGATATGCCTTCTAGGCTTCCAGTGCCTTCAAGCTGGTTCTGATTGTCTTGCAGGCCTGGGCTCTTTTAAGCATTTCTTCCCCCAATCAAAATGGACCAACAATAGCAGTCTTTAAGTGAAGGGCTAAGGATTTTGCCTTCTGTAACTAGTCAAAATAACCTGTGTTCATGAGTATGTTTATTGATAGTAACATAGACTGACATTTATATCTAGTCTTATGAAACAGTATATTAAATCAGAAGGAAGTACTATGACAAACCAATATAGGATAGAATTTAGGATAGGATGGCCTTTGAAGCCACCAAATTGAACAATAAAAAGCGTTCTACTCTGCACATGGTCTGGGGTATTATATTTCACAATGATATTTTTACATGTTCTTTTTTTTATTATACTTTAAGTTCTGGGGTACATGTGCAGAACGTGCAGGTTTGTTACATGCCATGGTGGTTTGCTCTATCCATCACCCTGTCATCTACATTAGGTGCTATCCCTCCCGTAGCCCCCACCCCCTCCTATCTATCTCCTAGCCCCCACCCCCCGACAGGCCCCAGTGTGTGATGTTCCCCTCCCTGTGTCCATGTGTTCTCATTGTTCAACACCCACTATGAGTGAGAACATTACCTGTTAATATTAATTTGCCTTTTGTTGTTGTTAGAAAAGAGGCTAAAGTTTTTATTTTTTATTTTATTTTTTTTTTTTTTGAGAGTCAGGGTCTTGTTCTGTCACCCAGACTGGAGTGCAGTGGCATGATCATAGCTCATTACAGCCTTGACCTCCTGGGCTCATGCAATCCTCCCACCTCAGCCTCCTGAGTAGCTGGGATCGCATGCAAGCACCACCATGCCCAGCTAGTTTTTTTGTTTGTTTTTGGTGGAGGTCTTGCTATGTTGCTCAGGCTGGTCTCAAACTCCTGAGCACAATCGATCCTCCTGCCTTGGCCACCCAAAGTGCTGGGATTATAGGCGCGAGCAACCATGCCCAGCTTAAACTTCTTTGTTAAAATGTGTGTGCTTTGGTAGATTCCTTATCCATATCCTTTGCCCATTATTTTCCTTCAGTGGTTGTCACCTTCTTATTCCTTTCCATTGTTGAGGAATCACATTTTTACAAAGGCTTTACAAACATATTTGACCATACCTTACGTTCTTTGACAGGTCCTTAGCTTTCACACTTTATTCCTAGCATTCTTTTCTTACCTTTGAACCACTTTGTTTCCATCTTTTAATGGCTTCTACTGTTTTTCTAGCCTTTATATATTACCAGAAATCTATAATGTGAGGTAGCACTTTACAATTTATAGAACATTTCCTTCTCCAGTGTAGGGTACCCCTTTTCTGTCATGGGAATACCTAGAAAAAAGAAGTTAGAACAGAAGGAGATCGATAATGTAATTTTTTGGCTTTTATAGAAAAATAATTTCTTATCAGAAAAGAAACACTTTAATCACAGAAAACATGTTAATGAAAATACATTGTGATTTATTGAAAACAGAATTGCATTATGCATAAACTGGTAAACCAATGTTTAGACTTGACAATGTATTACAAACACTTTTTTCGTTATTAATATTCTAATGTTATTTCAGTGGCCATATATAATATTGCAGTGTTAAATATGCTGTAATTTAATAAACCCCTATTATTTCTGATTTTGCAATATTATGAATAAAACTGTTAGGAATATCCTTACAACTAAATCTTTTTGCATTCTATGATTTTTTTAGACAATTCTAGAAACTCTTAGGAAAATCCTAAAGATGACTTTCTTGAAGTATGAACAGTTATACATACAGTATACATTTAAATTTTTTTCTGTTAATTGGCTATCCAAAGATGGCATCTTGTTTTAATTTGTACGTTTTGTTTTTTTTAAAAAAAGTTGAATATTTTAAAATGTGTTTATTCGACATTGTGTTCTTTTTCTTAATCCACATCCTTTGCCCAGTTTTTGTGTGAGGGATTATCTTTTTACTGCTTTTCCTTGTAAGCTCAGCTCTACCATTCGACTTGTTACATGTAAATATAACAAGTTATAACTCCATTTAAGTATAATGCTCTTTTTTGTTTTCAATATTTCATGGTTTGTCTTTGTTTTGTTTACTATCTTTGGTGATATGTTTTGAAAGTCTTCCCCACTCCAAGATTTTATGAATATTCACATTTTCTTGTAATAATTTGTGATCTAATTTTTTTTTAAAAATTTAACTCTTTTTTTTTTGAGACAGAGTTTCGCTCTTGTTACCCAGGCTGGAGTGCAATGGCGCGATCTCT